GGCCATGCGCGGCATTCGCTGGCATAGACTACACTTAGCCTGATGTGGGAAAGATCATGAAGTTTAGAGCCAGATCTTCCTCTGATTCCCAGCTTCCTGCATTCACTCAGGTGTCCACCACATGCCAACCTCTGTGCCCAGCACTGGGGACACAGCCGTGGTCAAAACCCCTTTGGTTTTTTCTTTTATGGGGTTTCCATCCTCACAGGAGAGACAGATGTGACCTATGATCACCCTCAGTTATATAACCCCAGCCAGGTTATGTCACCTCTCTGTCCCATTTTCCTCCTCATTAAAAGTAGGAATAACTAGAGCATTGAATAAGGACATGAATATGACAATACCTAAGAGTACCTGGCCAGTGCAGGTACTCACACAGCAGTGGTGCCTTCTTTGGCCACAGGTGGACCTAAGGGAGGCGGTGTGGGGGAAGGAAGGACCCCGGGCTGCAGGAATCCGGTCCAGGTGGGCCTCTCGCCAGGTGAATTACCTTGGCCCTCAGTCTCGGGTTAGTAGAACAGGCCCATTGGATCCCACGCTCCCTACAGTTCCATGCCTGACATCGCGTGCCTAACAAGCAGTGGGTAAGCAGCCACATCGACTGTCTGGATAATGCATGTGTCACTGTGAAAAGTAAGAGGTTGTCATTGGAAAATGGAGTCATAGGACTTACAGTATAAATTAAGGAGAACTTCCCTCCTCCAACATTTTATTATGAAAATTTTCAAATATACAGCAAAGTTTGAAGAATATAGTAATGAACTTCTACTTAGATTCTACGATGAATTTATAAATCCATCTGTCATTCCCCTATTCATGCATCAATACATCTTATTATTTATTAACGTCTGATTTATACACCATAAGGTTCACCTATTTTAAGGTCTGTTTGGTGAATCTGGGTACTTGTGCGCAGTTGTGTACCCCCTGCCACAGTCTAGATATAGGTCAGTCCCCTCACCTTATAGGGTCTCCTCGTGCCGTTTCAGCCCATCCTAGCTGAAGTCGTGACAGTAGCACACGTGAGGAAAAGGCCCAAAGAGGGAGGTGACGGCCAGTGATGGCCTCTCAGACAGCAGGCCACCTGGGGCCAACTGCCCTCGGGCTTTACTTGTACTAACGTCCACGTGGCGCATGTTAGTGTGTCACCAGGTGACAGTGCCATGTTCTGCCCTAAATGGAGACCTTGGGGCTATGAGGCCACTGGCCTTATAATGCAGTGTCATCGTTATTCCTGCTGAACGCTGGGAGGAGGCAGGTGCTTCCCTGAAGCCACTGTGCTTCTTCTCCTAACGTGGTGACCATCCCTGATGGCAGCCCTTCCTTCCTTCCTCGCCAGCCCGTGAGAACCTACTTCCCACGTCATCGGTGGTATCAGTGACTCAACATCCCCCTTCTTCTGCACCGCCAGGTAGGGCTGTGTCTTTTTGTCTTGTGTCTTCCTAACAACTGCATTCATTCGACAACAAACGGGTGAATGAGCACCTGTCACTGGGGACATGCAGAGCAGTGACCAGAGCAGACCCTCACGTGGGCTGAGTCCTCTGGGATGTCACAACAGAGTGTGGCGGATGCCGTGACGGGGGAGCGTGTGAGCCATCAGTGCCCAGAAAGGCATCTCCATACAGACCCGAGGGGGCGGCATACCAGGAGACCAGTCTAAGCCAGGGAGTGGAGCATGGGGGAACAATGGGATTGTGCCAGGCAGGGGAGGAGTCAGGCAGGTAAACTCCCTGATGGCAGGAGACGACACTTTCCGGATTAGAGCCTGAGGCTGGACGACATCCTTACAGAGTTAGTGAAGAGTGAGGTGGCGGAGGCCCTCTAAGGTGATGTTTTGCTGAGATCAAAGATGAGTAATATTGCAGGATATCCAGCCTCCAGTTGGGTCTTGGGTTTTCAAAAATTCGGTTCAGTCTGAGGCCAAATAAGGCAGGAGTGAAATATTGAACCCACTGATTCCCATAATCTAGTCGTGCAACCAAAAGATTCAGGGAGAACAAGAGGAACCGCTGTCACTGCCCCAGGGACTGAGCACATCCCTGGTGGAAGAGAGTGCCCAGCAGGTGCTATAGCTGCTGGCCCTTGGCCGTGGCATTGGGAGCATGGCGATGACCAAAGGCACCATTGTTGTCTCTGAGATTCATTCGCCTCAATTCAAACCCTAATCTTTCTTTTTTTCACTTGCCTAATGACTTTTTATCTTGCATGGCTAGCATGTGCTGAGCACTTGCCCCGGGCTCATTAGTGAATACACTGGTGACCTGGACACAGTCTCGAACCTCAGGGAGATTGCAGCTTGGTAGGGAGACCAGTCTTGTACACAGAAAACTGAAACACCCTGGCTTCACCACAGTGCAAAACATCAGTGTAGCAAAGTTATACCTGTACCCATGAATATAGACAAATTTAAGCAAAGCAAAACAAAAACAAAAAATGAAAGCCATAACGTAGGGAGACAGTGGTCTGTGCTGTATGTGAGAGGCCCTGCCCTGCACCCCAGACCAGGGCCCACGTGGCTGCCTGCCCCCAGGTGAATGCTCTCTGCATGCACTTCTGTGGCAGATGTGACCATGCCCCACTGCCGTGGTCTCTCCGCACATCCAGCTCACCCCACGCTGGTGAGACCCTGATCCCGCTCTGCAGCCCAGCTAACTGCATGCCCAGAACAAGCCCTAAGGAGTGACAGCCCTCAGGGGAGTCCCCGCCCCTGAGGGCTGTCACTTTCTCCAGCCTCGTGACAGTGTGTGAGTAATGGCTGTTACCCTCAGGGCCACACGCCCTGTCAGGTGTGCTGGGCTCCAGGCCCGGTCTCCCTGGTCACTGCTCCCTGACAGCCACTGCTCTCTCACTCTTCCCCTCGTCCCACCTGCAGGGGAGACGAGACGTGCACGTCCCTGGCCAGGCCCGGGGGCACCTCCGCAAAGGGCGCGGGGAAAGGAAATGGTCAGTCCTAGTCCAGGCGGTCACAGAGCTTCAAGGATGGAGGCGGTTGGGCTGGAATTGGGAGGGTGGAGGGATTTCAGTGGGCAGCAAGGGGAGACGATGCACTTTAGGCCACGTGAATGGTAGGAAGGAAGGAAGGGAAATGGGAGACATTTGCTGAAGGGGGAGCATTTGGTTCCATGGAAGAAGTACCCACTCGAGCAAGTTTAATGGAAGGGAGTCTGTGGCTGGGGTGTGGGGATCTTAGAGAACCCATTTGAGGGAGCACAAACAAAAAAAGGAATTGAGCTGCCTGTGTTAATCCATGTGCGTTGCTATGAAGCAACTACCCCGGGCTGGTAATTTATAAAGGGGTGCTCACAGTTCCGCAGGCTGTGCAGGAAGCATGGCGCCCGCACCTGCTTCTGGTGAGGGCTCGGGAGCTCCCAGTCCAGGCGGAAGGTGAGGGAGGAGCAGGCGTGTCACATGGTCAGAGAGGGAGGAGGAGGAGCCGGGCTCTTTTAAACAACCAGCTCTCTGTGAACTGACAAAGCAAGAACTCACTTATTCTCATGGGGAGGGCACCAAGACATTCATGATGGAACTGCCCCCCGTGACCCAAACACCACCCACCAGGCCGCACCTCCAGCACTGGGGATCAGTTTCCAACATGAGGTTTGCAGGGCCCAGCATCCAAACCGTATCACCGCCACAGAGCCGGCCTCTCACGCTGTGTGTCTCCTCCTCCCTCTCTTTCCTGTCTCATGAGTCACTATTCTGACGGCCGGCGTCTCTATTCATTTACCCACCGGTATGTGAACTACCACAGCTGCCCCAAATGCCAGTGCCAGACGCTGGGTCTTCCAGCTGTCATCCCAATTTCAAATATCCGGTGGAGAGAACATAGCCCAATCCCGCAGGTGGACCGGTTCCCCTGGAGTCACATGTACACTCCAGTCCTCTCAACCTGACCAGGCAGACTCAGTCAGGGCACAAGGCTTTGGCCCAGTGCCTCCTCCTGGTTGTGGGTGGGACAGATTATATGAAAAGGGGGTATGGATAAAGAATAGGTGTATACGTTGCCATGTAAACCACTCTCAAAACCTAGTGGCTTAAAACAACCACCATTTCTAACTGCTCACAGGTCTATGGGGCAGCTGGGCAGCTCAGCCAGCCTGGGGTGGGCTGGGCCGATCTTGGCTGGGTTTGCTCACGCATCTGTGGTTAGCTGGCGGGTCAGTTCAAGACTGCCTGGCCTTGGATGGCCTCCCTCACATGTCTGGCTATTCCATAGCTGTCATCCAAGGTGACAGAGGTGGTGACAATGCCACATGCCTAGCTCAGGCATGTTCACATGATGCTCTCGGCGTTCCCAGGGGTGAGCTGACGTCTGTCCTGGATCTCCAGGCCTCTGCTCTGCGTGGTGCAGCAGTACTTCCGCCGTGTTCTGCCGGCCAAGCAAGCAGTGAGAATCCAGGCTCAGCCTCTTGATGGGAGGGGCTGCAGGGTCACTGAGCACAGGGAAGAGAAGAACTGTGGCCATTTTTCTAAACAACCTCCTGCAGGCAAGCTGTCTTAAAACAGCATGGATAAGGAAGACATCGTAGGCTTCCTAGAGCAGCGTGTCTGGGGAACGGCTTGGGGTCCCTCGTGACAGCTAAGGATTTCTGCTGCAATGTCGTGGAAGATGAGGACAGGGGCGCAAGGTCAGGTAGATGACAGTGCAGTCACCAGCAGCAGAGGGCGCAGCTGCCACCCCTGACCGCTCTGTCCTTCCCCAGGAGGCTGGGCCCCGCTGCGGCTGGTAGGCGGCCTGGGGCGCTGCGCGGGCCGCGTGGAGCTTTTCTACCAGGGAGTCTGGGGGACCGTGTGCGACGACCTCTGGGACCTCCCGCAAGCAGGCGTCGTCTGCAGGCAGCTGGGGTGCGGCTGGGCCGTCTCAGCCCCTGCGGAAGCTCACTTCGGGGAAGGTTCTGGGAAGATTCTGCTCGACAACGTGCACTGCAGGGGGGACGAGCAGCACCTGGAGGAATGCTCCCACAGTGGCTGGTTTTCCCACAACTGTGGTCGCGGGGAAGACGCCGGCGTGATCTGCTCAGGTAAACCCCTGCTCCCTTCCCGGGCGGGGCCTGGCTTCCGCACCTGCCTAGAGAGTACTTTGCAAATGACGGGGCAGAATCACTGCTGAAAACAAACTGGCACTTTACTCGCTCACGGCAGATGTTCTCATCTCTCTCACGTACAGATGCTGAGTATCCAACTCCCCCACTGCCAGGTAGGGAAGCCGAGGTTTGTATGTGCAGCTTGTAAAACCCTGGGGAGGAAGCTCTGCTGGAAATGGGATGTGTCTTGTTCTCCAAGCCAGTGGAGTGACTGAGAGATGTGGAGTCACCTGAAGGTCCCGCGGGAGAGCTGGACAGTGCCTTAGAAATCACCCAGTGCAGCCTCGCTTTCTACCTCTCCTCCTACCCCCTGTGCATTTCACACATGGGAAACATTTGTGTCTTGATTTTGCAGACTTCTGTATAGCCCTTTTGTTTTGTTAGTTCTGAGAGCCGCAGAGGGGATGGCAATGAGAAATGCCAGAATTTCATGTCTTTAGTTTTCCTGGACTCCTAATTTAAACTGATCTCGTTTGCATGCATGACAAGAGTAATGTGGCAAAGGCTGGGAAAGATCTAGATCAGTGCATCTTCCCTCCTGCATGTTAAAATCTTCTCCGTGCTCAGGCCTCTCCCCCAGAGATGCTGACTCAGTGGTTCCAGGAGGGTGCCAGAGAGTGTATTTGTTGTAGGTTCCTCGGGATTCTCATTTGCAGACGGGGGTGTGGACCTCAGCACCTACTGACAGTCCATGTGTCCTTTGTGTGTTTGACAGCTTATCCGTTGGCTGCCCCAGCAATGACAGTGGCTGCAGGTGAGAATTCTGTGTCCTTGGCTGCTCTGATCATCATCTTCTAGCTCAAGCCCCAAGTGATTCTTCAAAGAAATTTGAGCCAGAGCATGACTCCCTGTCTGGGTCACCCCTCTGAGTCTGTGTTCTAGGGGAAGAGCCCAGTAATGAAGGCCAATGAATTTCTGTTCCAACTCTATTTCTATTTAGTCTAAGAAGGAAGTCCAGATAACCAAGTGAGTCCAGCCTTTTTGGCTCCCAGTACACCATGAGAGAAGGGCAGGCATGCAGTCACTAATACAGCAGCATTGCCAGGGTGGTACCCAAGGACATGATTTTAGAGGGCTTCCACCATGACGAGCATATTCTTCTTCTGCACCCTTTCCCCTTCTCTAACGACCTCTGTCCTCCTTCTGCGTCCCTTCTTTTTCACCTGCCATTTTTTCTCTCTGTTCTTGCCTGTGCCTTGGACTTTCAGAAGCTCCACTGAACTTTTCTTAGCACCACTCGGGGATAAAGGGCTAAAATAAGACTGATGTGAGAAAAGCCTGGCTGGTCCTTCTAGACACAGCTAGATGACCAGGGCCAGTTCTCACATAGCCAGATAATGTGATGGAGAAGAGCTGTCTGTTTCCATTGCCACTGGCATCACCTTTAATTTTGGACTGAATGTTGGACAGGTGGATAGACAGACAAGCAAGTGGAGAAACAAATGGACAGGTGGGAGGACAGGTGGACACAAATCGTCATCAGTATTAGAGAGAGGGTTGAGTGACTCAGGGTGATGTCTTTCTACTTAACAGTGAATTTTTAAGAACATAATTTTAATAAATTACAACTGATGGTGGATGATTGCTTCCATCTCATATACGCAGAGGTTCCACATTGGCTCAGCCTTAATTGGGAAAAATGAAGCAGAACTTTATTCATTACTACTACCAACAGGACAAAAATCAAAGCTACAGAGCCCACACCTAGGGAGTGACCAGTGGGACAGGTTCTGGCTGATATTAGTTAGATGAGAGCTCTTACCAGCAAGCTTATGTCAATGGTAGAATTCTCAAAAGAGATGAGAAATGTTTCAAAAGACGGATGCATTCATGCCCTAATTTCCTCAGTTTGCAAGACTCTTTAGACTAGTTTATACCTCTGATACGTCCTAAGGCATACCCAGAGTCGTTACCAAAGTAATGACCAATGAAACCTTTTTTGGGGGAAAAAAAGTGAAAAGAAAAAAAGGTATGAATTTCAAAATTAGTAAGCTGAACAATGAGAAAACTGAAATGTTAAAATACGTTTCTGCATCTAGAAAAATTTCCATGTGGCGGCATTATCACTAACTCATCTGGAGCGATTAGGAATCCCCCGCAGAATGAAATGCACGACAACATAACCTGTGTGTGGGAAATCAAGGCGAACGCAACTGATCACGTACTGCTGGCATTTCCATATCTTAAGTAAGTCCTAAGTACGTTACTTAAGTACACTGTGTAGTTTTTCTAATTTTATTTTTAATTGATAAATAACAATTATATATAGTTATGGGGTACAATGTGTGTTATACCTGTTTGCATTATGGAATGATTAAATCGGGCTAATTAACATATTCACCACTTCACATACTTTTCTGTGTGTTAAGAATATTTAAATCTACTTTTTTAGAAATTTTGGAATATACAATACATTCTTATTAACTATCACCATGTTGCACAGTATATCTCTTGAACTTCTTTCTCTTGTCTAACTGAAACTTTGTGCCCTTTGACCAATATCACCCCATTCCCCTCCCCACCTCTGGTAACCACCATTCTACTCCTCACTTCTATGAGTTTGACTTTTTTAGATTCCACCTATAAGTGAGATCATACAGCATTTTTCTCTCTGTGCCTGGCTTACTTCATTTACCATATTGTCCTCTGGAGTCATCCACGTTGCAAATGACAGAGTTCTCTTCCTTTCAATTCCTTTGGATATATACCCAGAAGTGGGATTGCCAGATCACATGGTAGTTCTATTTTTAGTTTTTTTGAGGATCCTCCATACTGTTTTCCATAATGGTTGTACTAATTTACATTCCCACCAGCAGTGTGTAAGGCTTCTCTTTTCCTCACATTCTCACCAATACTCGTTATCTTTCATCTTTTTTACAATAGTCATTCCGACAGGTGAGGTGATACCTCACTGAGGTTTTAGTTTGCACTTTCCTGATATTAGTGATGCCGAGCATATACCTGTTGACCATTCATATGTCTTCTTTTGAGAAATGTCTATTCATGTCCTTTGCCCTTTGTAATAGGGTTATTTGTTTTCTTGTTATTGAGTAATTTCAGTTCATTACATATTTTGGATATTAGTTCCTTACTAGATGCATGATTTGTGAATATTTTCTCCCAATCTGTGGACTGTCTCAAGTTGATTGGGCTCTACATTGCAGTCTCCTAGTCCACAGAAAACAAAGAGGTGGACATACAACAGGACCACTTCCAACAGCTATCTGGGATGGGAGGGTGCAGTCTGAACAAGAGTGCACACGTGTGCTGCAGCTCCTCCCCACATTTTAGCTCAAAGACAGTGGGAGATAAGCACTTGCCCTCAGCTTCACCCTGAGGACAGAAAGAACAAAAACACACATCCAACACCCCAACATTTCCAGCTGCCTCTAAAGGATCTAGATTGTATCTTGTCTGTCACAGGGTACTAACAAGACTTGGCACATCCTAATCTCCTGGGCCACCAAAAACAGAGATAGCAGTTGGAACAAACACAGAGATTTGAGAGGCACCTTATAATCTCTGGCTGGATGGATTGGTGAGATCCTTCTACATGAGGCCAGTCTGATAAGACCTGGAGCGGCAGTTATCTTATCTAATGCTCAGAAACCAACACAGAGAGTCTGTGAAATGAAGAAACAGGAAAAATGAAGAAACAGGAAAATACATTCCAAATAAAAGAAGGAGATAAATCTCCAGAAACAAACACTATGTTTAAAATCCTAATCATTTATTCCCATGGTTGGTTCTCATAAGCAAAAGAGTCCTTTGTGCATTTTAAAGTTTTTATTTTGAGATAATTATAGATGCATAGGAAGTTGCAAAAATAATGCACAGAGTCCTGTGTAGCCCTCACCAAGCCTCCCCCAGTGGTGGCACCTTTTCTAACTGCAGAACAATATCAAAGCTAGAAGGTTGACATTGATATAATACTGTTAGTGAGACTATAGACCTTATTCAGTTTTCATCATTTTTTGCTTGTACTTATTTGTTTATATGTGTGTGTGTATATAGGCACATGCACATGTGTACTTCAATGCAATTGATTCCATGTATGCATTCGTGTAACCACCACCATATTCTAGATACAGAACTGTTCCCTAACCACAAACGAACAACTCCTTTACCCTTTATATTCACCCCCTCTCTGTCCCCTGGAAACCACTAATCTGTTCTCCATCTCTAAAGTTTATCATTTCAAGAACATTCTATACAAGGAATCACACAGTATGGAACCTTTTGAGATGGACTTTTTCACCCAGCCCAATGCCCTTGAGGTCCATCCAGACTGTTGAACCTGTCAATAGTTTTTTTTTTGAAGCAGAGTCTCACTCTGTTGCCTGGGCTACAGTGCAGTGGTGTCATGTGTGTTCCTTCTTATTGGAGAAGAATTCCATTTGTGTGGATGTACCACAGTTTGTTTAACATCCCCCACTGATGGACATTTGGATTGCTTCCAGTCTCTTGCTATTATAATTAAAGCTTCTATGAATATTCATATACAGATTTTTGTTTGAACATTAAGTTTTCATTTTACTGAGACAAATTTCCAAGAGTGCAATTGCATTTAGCTTTTTTAAGAACATGTCAAACTATATTCTGGAGTGACCGTCATTTTACATTCCCACCAGCAACATCTGGCAAATCTATGTTCTTCCCATCCTAGCTAGCTAGTGTTTAGAATGATTTCTTATGTCAGCTGTTTGTAATTTTCAGCATATAAATCTACATATTTTGTAGATTTATACTTTAGATTTTTTTGGAGTGATTGTAAATGACATTGCATTTTAATTTTGGTTTTTACATGCCTGTTGCTAGTACAGAGAAATACAATTGATTTTTGTGAGCTTCCGTGAATTTGTAATTAAAATGAAATTCACCTCATATGCCTTGGACAGGTGTGTGTGTGAATGAGAGAGGAGTGAGAGAGTGTGTGTTCTCTCCCGCTCATTAGAGATGCAGGCTCAGGATATCCCAGACCTAATAAATCAGGAATTTTAGGTTTTAATGTTGTAAATAGTCAATATTGATGTCACTCATAGATGATACATAAACGAAAAATTCATGGTGAATTTCTTATGGAGATTAACCTCCAAGAACAACTTAAATTATGTTATTACTCTTGAATTTTGCTTAATCAAAATATTGGTTGGAATGGACAGCGAGTCGGGTTGAGACGTGGAAATGGTTTCCTGATTCTAGCAGTAGCAGCATCTGCACAGAACCTCACAGTGACGAGCAACAGCTCACAGAATCAGATGACGCCTGCAGAACCGGGGAGATTTGGGAGCCCGTTTCTCTCTAGGCGGGCTGGCTGCCGAAAGCTTATAAGTGGATTATTTGGAACCTGGGTCCCCTTCCTGCTGGCAGGCCTCTCTCTCCTCTGGGTTCCCCCTACTCCAGTCGCCACATGGTGAAATTGCCTCGATTTGCCCGGCCCTGCCCCGGGCCTAGGCTGTGAGGTGTCCTGCGGTGCCAGGCTGCCCCCAGCCCCTGAGCAGGGCTACAGTTTGTGCCCGCCTCCTCTGGTTCCAGTCCCACTCCCTTAAAGCAACGGCTCTCGGAGAGAAAACGTGACATAAAAGGAGTCTGTGCTATGTTTGAGTGACTGCCTCTGGCCCCTTTGCAGTCATGAAACCGAGCGCCTGTCTCACAGCACACCTCTAAGGTTTCCCATGGTGTTTCCTTCCCCAGCCTCGACTGCACCAACGAGTACTTCGAAATCCTGGACGGCCCTCCCGCCTCAGCACAGTCCCTGGGGAAGACCTGCTCCGGTTTCTACCTCACCTACGCCTCCTCCTCCAGCTCCATGACCCTGGTGTACTTCCGCAGCATCAACAACATAGGGAAGAACTTCCTTGCTTACTATTATTCTGCGCCCAAGGGTAAGAATGGCGGTCAAGAGCAATAGATAGCCCTAGAGCTGAGCTTTCTCCCTGGGTGCCGGTTCCCGTCTCGCCACTTACTCTGTGACCTTGGGGAGCAGCTTAACCTCTCCCGACCCCGATTCCTGTCCTGTGCAGTGGGGGTAACAGGAGAAGCTCACTTCCTAGGTTTGCTGTCAGAGTTACACAGAATGACACTGCGGAGCGCTCAGCAAATGATGGCACATCCTAAATGTTCAGTGAGCGACAGCCTTGTCATGGGCTTTTTAGTTCCACGTGAACATCTAATCACAGCCCATTAGGAAGTCCTTTCTGAAGTTACTCCATCTAGCACTGGGTGGGTGTTTCGGGACCTCCAGGAGAAGAAGGCGTGGCCCCAGCCCGAGAGAGGAGAGAGCTCGAGCACACACTAGAGGGAGTTCACGACAAACACAGTGATGGGATCAGATGACAAACAGAATGTACAAGACTAAGGCAAACAAATAGAGCAGATGAATAGGCTAGAAGGCGCCAGACTGACAAGTGCATGCATCTCAACAAAAGACATCAGGAAAGAGGAGAGCAGTGAAGGCTACGCGTATTAAGGAAAACACTGGGGGAAACAGACTTGATTTGGCTTCACAGCCGGCGAGGCTGTGACTGAGGAACGGAGAGGGGGCGGCTCAGGCGGGAGAACAGCAGGAGCCCAGAGAGGGGCTGGCGAGGTGCGCGCGGTGAGAAGGCAGGCGGGAGCCAAGCCGAGGGCCCTGTGGGAGCGCAGTGTGCTCAAGGTCAGGTGACAACAACACCGTCAGTAGTGAAGACACTGGAAGGAACAGCCGGCATCTACGGAGTGCCTATTATACAGCCGGCAGCGTGTTAAGCACTTTACATGAGTTATCCTCACACAGGCCCAGGGTTCTGCCCCTTTTACAGGTGAAGAAACTGAGGCTTGACAGGTTCAGTAGTTTTCCGAGGTCCCGCGTCATTCGCACGAGAGAAAACAGGCAGCGCTCACAGAACCGGAGATAGCCAGCACCTGCTTTGTCCAGGACGTCAGGGCAGTCCTGTGCCCGCAGCGAGTGCCAGGGTGACTCAGTGAGCAAGCGTGGGGCACGTGTTATAAAACACACGGGAGATGCTCTGTGTCACAGAGTGGAGCAGGGAAAGTCACCTTGGTTGTCATCAAACAGCCACTGACGACGTTCCCTTTGTTTGCAGAGGCAGCGCCGCAGACCCCACAGCTAATCAGTGAGTCGCGTTCATGCTGTTACTTAACCCTCACCCCCAGCACGTGTTTCTTCCTCTGTCCCCTCTCCTGGTGCCTTTGCTGCCATCATTCCCTGTCTCTCATTGGATGTTTCCCGATTCCCTGTGCAAATCTTCCAAAGCTGAGAGATTCTATCCGCACAGTTTTTGCACAGGTGTGACGCCCGCTCACACCGGAACCAAGTTATACCTGTCAACAGTCGGGCCGCTGGATATTGACAATTGTCAGTTTGATTTCCTCATTCTTTATTTTTATCGAAGACAGTAAGACAGACCTAATCAGATACTGTGCATTTAGGGAAAGCTGACAATGCAGGAGCAAACAGAAGAAACAGCTGTTTTCCCCAAAAAGACACTGATTGTGAATGTTTGCATTTTAACACAGAAGAGTGCAATTTAAATATTATTATATTTCCAGTAACTGGGCAGAAAAGGAGAATATTATTCTTGTTGGATCCCACACATCTTAGAAACATCAAAACACAAGTGAAAGGAGAGTTCAATTTGGGGGTCACTTACTGTAAAGATTATGGGGAGAAAGAATCTGCCGGAATCCTGGCATTTCACGAAGCTTGGGCTCAGATGCTGTCCTCTTGACTTGTCAAGTCCCCTCCTTTGATTTAAGGGCATCTTCTTGTGTCCACAGCCATCCCGACAGCAACACCCAAGACAGTAACAGCAAGACCAGGTAAGCCCTGAAATGCATCCGTTCGTTTAGCAAGCGTCCTTTCCTTTCTGTGCCTGCTTGGTGTACAGAAACTTGGCCAGCTGCAAATAGTTCATGTATTCACAAGTGAGCCAATTGACTCTACCCAAACCTTTAGGGCCATTCAAAACTTTCGGGATCTTTTGGCTCTAGCATCCCAGGACAAGCAAAAATCATTTTTGTGTGTATGTATGCCTTTCAGAGACAAAGCCTGAGCAGCTTATAAGCACCCTATGTTGGCATTCTGCCTTTGCTTGTTATGACAGTTCTGACCATAGTCAGCATCACTTCCAAGTTGCTAATAGCCTTTTCAAAGTGAGTGGAGTGTCAGAGCTGTTCCAGAGGCAGTGAGATAGAATAGAAAGGAAAAACCAGTGAACTTTGGGATCAGGAGACCTGAGTTTAGGTCTTCTACTTACCAGATGTGGGTTTGGGATGAATCACTTTGCTTTTCCACCTTTCAGTTTCTCGTAGATAAAATTGGTATCCCAATAATCTTCTTACTCGCCTTCCTGAGTTATTTTATAAATGTGAAGGTGAACATACACACAGAAAAAAAAGGCTTCATAACATCACAAGTCATTGTGCAAATTGTTTATAATGTTTTTCTGCGTTTAGTTAAAACAGATTAGCACATACCTCTGGCAAAATAGATAATCAATGGATTTTTTTAGACTAAATGTTACTAACAATCATAAGGACTTGTCAACTTCCCGCCCGGCGGTTGACTAGTTGGCTGACTCTGAGCAGGGTCCCGTATCTAACAGCCGTGTGGGAGTGGGGGGCTCGCTAGCTCGCGGGAAGGGTGCCGCCCCCACAGGACGGCAGTCACCCGGTCTCTGTCTGCAGGGGACTGGCCAGAGCTGCGGCTGGTGGGCGGCTCGGGCCGGTGCTCGGGTCGCGTGGAGGTGCTCCACCAGGGGGCCTGGGGCACCGTGTGCGATGACCTGTGGGACCTGAACGAAGCCGAGGTCGTGTGCCGCCAGCTGCGGTGCGGCCGGGCCGTGTCCGCCCTCGGGAAGGCCCACTTCGGCCCAGGCTCAGGAGACATCTTCCTGGACAACATGCAGTGCGCGGGCGCCGAGCGCTACCTGGGCCAGTGCGCCCACGCGGGCTGGTCGGAGCACAACTGCGGCCACCACGAGGACGCCGGTGTCATCTGCTCAGGTATCCTGTCCCCTCTCAGTTGGGCACCGCCAGTCCCAGAGTGCTTCGAGACCACCCTGCTAGCATTCGGATCAGCCAGGGACAAAGACAGGAGCCTCATGCACGTAGTGTTCGATTTTTGCTGTATCTCTTTTAACTTGGTTAAAGCTTACCTTGGACTTGGTTTGAACTGCTAGCCTCTAGAATGAAACCTCCTGATTTTCTAATCTGGTAATAAGTAATACCAAAAGTACGTGTGCTTTACGGAATTGTGCAAAGAACACGTTTAATGACGGGAACTTTTCAGGAGGAGAGGCAGAGTCTGGCTCCCAGAGCCAGGGCAGACACACAGGCTGTATGTGGGCAGCACCTAAACTCACTCTTAGACAGAGTTGGTAATTCTGCCTTGTGACAATTTTTTTAAATACTCTGGATTGATTCGTGCATAAGCAGTTGGGTAGGAGTAAGTTAGCCACCTCTGGGATGTTGGTTAATAGCCCTCTCAGATAATGAGATGCCTTTTGGTAAACTAACAGCTGTAATATCCAATGTGACTCGAAAGAATCTGTAACCATAACTAGAAGTGGTGCCCACTACATAGAGTTGTCCCCGTAAGCAGCAGCTCAATTGTATGTCAGCACCTGCTACCTGTGACTTCCAATTCGAGGCGCATATTTAAAAGCATTGTCTTGTGCATTGGTGCCTTCATCTATCCATCTGTGTGCATGTGTGGCACGTATAACCCAGTCACAGCCTCGTGGATACATGTTATTCCTAAGTTCTGATGCTCTAGAGCAGGGGTCCTCAAACTACGGCCCGCATGTGGCCCGCTGAGGACATTTATCCGGCCCACCGGGTGTTTTTGCCACCGCTGCCTATCCTGCTTAGCAGTCCACTTGTCCCAGGCCCACAGTGCACATGTGTGGAATGGGCACCACACTCTCCAACCGCCCTCCGACGGTCTGAGGGACAGTGAACTGGCTCCCTATTTAAAAAGTTTGAGGACCCCTGCTCTAGAGGATGATTGTCCAAATGGGAGGTGACCCAAGACCCCCAAAGTGAAACTCATCTGCTACAAAATCAATGGTTTAGGCCAGATCATCCCAAAAGGGCCCTTCACATCTGGACGTTTTCCCACAGTGCGGCAGCAGACCAACAACCAGGGAGAAGCTGACTTTTATAGCCACAGACGAATCCACTTCTCCCTGTACTGTGTTATTTTTTTTTTTTTTTTTTTTGAGACAAAGTCTCGCTTTGTTGCCCAGGCTAGAGTGAGTGCCGTGGCGTCAGCCTAGCTCACAGCAACCTCAAACTCCTGGGCTCGAGTGATCCTTCTGCCTCAGCCTCCCGGGTAGCTGGGACTACAGGCATGCGCCACCATGCCCGGCTAATTTTTTATATATATATCAGTTGGCCAATTAATTTCTTTCTATTTATAGTAGAGACGGGGTCTCGCTCTTGCTCAGGCTGGTTTTGAACTCCTGACCTTGAGCAATCCGCCCGCCTCGGCCTCCCAAGGGCTAGGATTACAGGCGTGAGCCACAGCGCCCGGCCTGTACTGTGTTATTTAAAGGACTAATTTTCCCTTATCAGATTCATAAGCATGTATAAAGTTATAGTTAAATCTTCACCTTCACTTATTAAAGTCAGGATTGTTTTAAAATGCTGACATGCTTATTTTCTCTACAAACAGATGCTGAGGAGTCACTTTTTAACAATCCAGGTCAGTCACACCTTTTGTCAGTGGGAGTGAAATATCAGCTGTTCTTGATTTTGTCTTTGAGCTCCTTGTTCTTCCAGCTTTAAGTTCCCTCCTTGTCTAAACTGCAGAAATTTTCACACTACTGAGATGCCGTTACAAAGTTTTATCTGGAATTGCACTTGATTTTTACATGTGTTGATGGCTTTGTGTGTGTGTCTGTGTGTGTGTGCGTGCGTGCATGTCTATGTATGTAAGTGCACAGTTTCTAGAGACACGCGCAGAATGAAATGGCCTTTCGTGGTCTTTTTGCATATGCTACTCCCTGTGCATTAAACACCTCTCCCAGCTCCTCCCCTGACCAGCTCCTTCTCACTTCTAAAGAGGCATCTCCAAGGCTCCTCCTCTCTACTATTCCCTTGGTAGAACCCTGTTCTTTTCCTCTGATACATGCATCAGTAACACACTGTGGCAGTGTCTGTATTTGACTAATTAATAGACTCCAGGCTCCCTGAGGGCAGAAACCATATCTCCTGGTTTAGAGGTGTAGCATCAGTGCTTACTGTGAAAGACAATCGCTAAGTACTTGAAATAAGATGAAATTAACTGAAGACCCCACCGCCTGCCATTCAGGGGCACTTGAGAAATGTGATGAGCAAGCCCCAAGGCTCAAGACGGGGGGCGGGGGGCTCCCTGCAACCTGCCTCTGAGCCTGGTGCTGGTGGACCCAGGTGGGGTCTTCTGGGGGCTCACAGACACACGTCTCCGTCTGCAGGGGACTGGCCAGAGCTGCGGCTGGTGGGCGGCTCAGGCCGGTGCTCGGGACGCGTGGAGGTCCTCCACCAGGGGGCCTGGGGCACCGTGTGCGACGACCTGTGGGACCTGAACGAAGCTGAGGTCGTGTGCCGGCAACTCAGGTGTGGATGGGCTGTTTCTAGCCCAGGTGAGGCCCACTTCGGCCCAGGCTCAGGAGACATCTTCCTGGACAACATGCAGTGCTCCGGGGTGGAGCACTACCTGGGCCAGTGCGCCCACTCGGGCTGGTCCGAGCACAACTGTGGCCACCACGAGGATGCCGGCGTCATCTGCTCAGGTACCTTCTCCCCTCGGAGGCAATAATTTCTGATGCTGTGGTTGAAGATATTTTGAAAAAGTGTGTGTCCTGGGTGGGATTTTCCTCCATCCCTCCATCCACCTGCTCCTTCCTCCAGCATCTCCTCTGGACCAGGCCTTGGCCTCAGACACAGGCCTTGCCATGGGCGGTTCCGGGTTCCCGCGGGGGGGTTTTCCATTTTTGTTGACCCCCGGCCCCCCTTGGGGCTTTAATTGGGGTTTCCGGGGTTCGTTCCCCAGGGGCTCAGAAATCTGCATTTTAACAAGTAGTCCAGGGATTCTGCATAAGAGAGGCCAAGGGTAATCCAGCCCTGGCTGCACAGGACACAGTTGACCCAGCCCGCATGGCCAAAGACCTTGCCAGAGGAGAGCTGAAGTTGCCCACGGGGTGGTTCTGGTACTCTGGGTTCCCATACTCAGAAAGCCCATAGTCCTTTCCTCTTCATCTCCTGCCCACACCCTTGTCATCCCAAAGAGACTGACCTATTGCCTTTTTTTAATGCGTTCAGATGCAGACGACCTACCTTTGCCCACACCTCCAGGTATGTCCATATTTTTTTCTAGTCCAGGCTAACAATAATAATAGCAGCAAATACTTATTAATGCTAAGAACCAGACACTGTTCTGTGCCATCCATATATATAACTCTTGCAATCCCCCACAAGAATCCCTTGAGGTAGATACTTGGATTATTGGTATTTTCCAGATAAGATGAGACACAGAAAATTAGCAAGGTGCCCAGGGCTGGCTAGTAGGTTTGAATCCAAATTGGCAATGCTCTTGGCTGCCAGTCTCATTTACCATACCCATTCACTGGCCTGGCTACACAAAGACCAAGCAAAACTGGAGTAACGGTGGGGAGATGTTTTGCTCAGATCATTGCCAATCATCAGGACAGTCCTAGAAAAAGGCATTGTATATTATATTGACAGAGAGAAATTTGAGACACATGAAGGTTAAGTAACTTTCTCAAGATCACTAAACAAGTTAATGGTGGAACCAAGTTTTGACACTGATCAGACTGATTGCAAAGTACATGCTCTCAGGGATCTTATGACTTTTGCCTATTTTTAAAGATCTTATAATTTAATGATTGAATGATATTCATTTGTAATAAAAACCAAAACTAAAAAAATATCAGACCAACACATGCACTAAATTCTTAAATGATGCCAGAGGTGAATGAAAAGATATTTTGTTTCATTGCAACAGACATTTTTATGCATCTTCTCAGCAGCAGGCATGATGCAAGGGTTTCTGGATAAATTAACTTATTTCATCTTCACAGTTGAGGATTAGGGACATTAAAAAGCCTGCCCAAGATAACCTGATTAGAAGGTGACAGAAATAGAATTTACAAGGCCATCTCTTGCCCTTTGAATGCACCTGGCTGTCCCCACACAGCCTTAGAGAACACACACAAGTCAAAAGTCATTGGTACTGAAGGTATATCTCAGGAGTAGAGCATCTGACTTTACAAGTCATCGGCAGAAAGATCTCTCTTGGGCACTTGCCTACAGAAGACCTTGATGTATTCTGGGTGTTCCTGCAGGAAGGCCAGCTTTATGTGTTAAGGTCATGAGTGAGAGCAAAGAGGCTGTCTAAAGTTAAAGGGCCATGGTTAAGGTCAAGGGCAGTGGATATTCAAATGAAGGCTCTTCCATAGTTTCCTCATTTATGTAAATGACATGGATGGCAGACAAATGAAGATAACGATGTAGAGTGAAAGAAGTCATCTGGTTACATATTACTACCCTAAAACTTAGTGGTTGAAAGCTCACACCATTTATATAGATGTTATAGTTTTGTAGGTCAGGAAGGCCAGCAAGGCTCAGCTGGGAGATTCTTCTGCTCCACAGAGCATTGAACAGAATCATTCAAGGGTGTTAATCTGGTGGCTGGTCTGGAGAGTTCAAGACAGCTTCACTTACATGCTCGGTGCCTTAGTGGGGTCGTCTGGAAGGATGGGCTCCACCAGGGCCCTTTTCCATTCCAGGCAGCCACAGGGCTTCTTCACATCGTCTCTGTAGCAGGATAGTCAGACTTCTTATAAGGTGGCTTAGCAAGCCAATGTTCCCAGACACAGGAAGGGGAAGCTACCAGTCTCTTAAGGCACAATGCCACTTCCTCCATGTTCTGTTGGTCAAAGCAGTGACAGAGCCCACCTCAGTTCAAGGGAGGGAACCTAGACCCCACCTTGTGACAGGAGGAATGTATGAGAATTTGTGGCCTCCTTTAATCTGCCACAGGACCACAGAGAATAGTCACTCAGCACCTTCAGACTCTTCTCAGTTTGCACTAAGTACATTGATGTTTCAAAGAAAATCCTTTATATTTCACTAACATGTAGATGACACTAAATGGTTTTCTCCTGGATGTCATCATTATCTCCTCTTTTTTTCCTCGTAGGTCCTTCTGCAGCTTCTCAGGATCATATAACAGGTAGTCACTTATTTTAAATTGAAATGGTAACTCCATGCCAAGAGAACCATCACTGCAGACAGTAGAGTGTGCCCAGGACATAGCACGAAGGAGAGCAGGCACAGTGTGGGTGAGGGGCCTGCCTCTCTGCTGCCACTCTGTAAATACTGACTTTTTAACAAGAGGATCAGGCTGAGAAGGGGGGATGTATACCTGCCCTGGTCAGAGTAGAAAGAAGGGTAACAAGAGACTTGAAGAGAATGTGGCTCCTCCGTCCATCTGGCCTGCACTTGACCCACCTTCTTTGGGTATAGTCCTGTAGGAGGCAGTCCATCAGTCCATCACCCCCTGACACATGTACAGTCCAACTCCTGGGGGTTTCAGTGACAGTCTGACCTGGCCTCATTACTGTAGCCCACAAATACTATTAGTGGTAGAACTACAGGGTGACTGAGAGCATTGCCACTTCCTGCCGTCCATCTCAGGAAAGACTAGGAATCTCAGGGATTCCAGTAGGATCACAGCTAGGTCAGGGGAAGAGAAAGAAGAGAAATTAAGCAACTTATAATTTAGGGACAAATTCAATAAAGCATATTGTGTTTCAAATTTCCTCCAAAATAATTTGATGATTCTAAGTTTTCTACTTCTCTGTGTGGCATGCTGCTTTAAATACTAGGGGGTTAAAAGAAAAAGGGAAAAAATAAATATATATGTGTACATATGTCTGTCTACACTAATGACAACTAATATGAAAGAATTATATTTCATGTTATCTTGTTTAACCCTTATATATCAAAAAACCCTACAAGTTCCAGTCTCAGAGCAAATTCTGAGTTAAAGGAAACACAATCTACCCAACAAAAGTGATTAAAAGTTACTCAAAGGAGGTGCTGGTCATAATCTCCTCTAAACAGTCCACATGTCCCTTTCCCTTCATCTCCAATTCACCAACCCCCTCATTGTTCTAGAGCCTCTTGCCCCCCAAACCTCCTCAAACTCTTCCCTTTCACAGGAACATACAGCCTCTGTTTCTTTGTCTCTCCTTCCCAATCTCTCATTTTGTAGATCTGCTCTGCCTCTATCCCAGCAAGCAAACATCCTGCTATTGTAGAAAGGAGGAGGAGACAGTAGGCAGAGAGGACAAATACAACATTTTCCTTATCAGGTGCTGGGAGAGAGGGAAAAGCCGTGAATTCTCACATATTAATCTTTTTTGGCCGATCAGAATTAAATTGAATAGACCCTCCTTCCCAAGAGACATTTAAGCTAAAGGTCTACTCAGACAGCTTGTGTGTGCCCACTTGACATGCTGCCACCAGACTCCACACAAATACTGGTGGGAGCTGGTCTTTACTAGGCTTACCAAGTGACACCATGTGGACACATCCTGACATCCTTTTTCCGTGTTGTTTCAGGAGGAAGTAACTCCTGTGGAGGGGTCATTTCTAGTCTCTCTGGCTCATTTTCTAGTCCACGGTATCCAGAAAACTACCCAACAGATGTCCAGTGTGTCTGGGAGATCCACGTGGATAAAAAATTTCTCATAGAACTCATAATTCCAAATTTGAAGTAAGGAAACGACTTTGAAAGGGGAGGTTCTATCTACATAATAATATTGGTTTATGAAATCATAATAAAGATATTTCCTTTAGTGAAAAACATTTAAGGGTGAAACCAGAAGAACACAAAATGCCATAGTCTTTTCGAGTCAAAGTTTGGGTTCATTTTGTGGCACTCTCCAATGAGTTACTTCTAGGTTGAAAAATTCAAGAAGTAGTTTATTAACATATTTGACTTAACCTTATTTTGATATTTTTTCTTTTTATCTGTTTTCGAAAAATATCGCAAAAATCTCAAACAGCTTTGTTTTTGTTGCACCCTAGGTACCAATATTTGTCTTCTTAGACTTTTGTTTTCCTTCATCTAAATTTTAAACAAACAGTAAGAACCTTTTTATACACACATATTAGCCATCTACTCCAGCCCTGGGTCCTACATCTTCTAAATGTTCTGCAAAGTGAAAGGAGACACTACAGTTATTATCTTATCTCTGACATGAAGAGAACAAATGTTTCAAAGTCACTGCCATGGTTATATGCTTTGTCATATGTCAGGGTTACTGTAGCCCAAAGACATGTCCTCATTATCTCCATTAGAGATGAGGAAACTGAGGTTCAGAGAGATTAACTAACTTGCCCAAGGCCAACCCATCTAGGTCTGTCTGATGTCCTAGCCCTATCTCTTCACCAATATGTTTCTGCAAGCAGAGTCTGTACAAAGCCCTTCTTGTTGTTACATATGACACAGGTTATGTTCTAAACACAGCAAGACTGTGGAATTTCATGTTAATCCAGCTTTAGGCATGCACTGAATTGTTATTCAGTCATGACTATACCAAGGCTATGGCTACAGAATGCCCTAAGCTTCAATATGATTTAGCACATGTTAACTTTGTTGCCTAAAATGCTAGAGCACAATTAGCTCACAATGAGGTGAGAACCTTGAACCCACACCTCCCAAGTCTGTCATGTTATCAGTTGTCCATTCCTTTAAAATCAGTCCTCATTACATCCCTCATGAATAATCGCCATGTTGCAAATACTCTTATATGTGCTGCTATTATTTTATTCTAAAAATCAAGTTTTTTCTCCCCAATAATTTGGGTATGGCAAATATTGTGAAATATAAAGGCAGAAAAATCTGGCTGTGATTTCTGTTACATGCTGATCATTGGTGTGATCTGACTGTCATGAATTTAGTTGCAGTATGAATTAGTATTTCCTAATGTCCTACGTAGGTTGTGATCAACCAAAACCATTATGATTTTAAATCTTCTGTTATAAAGCTTCAGACATTCCTCAGCCAAATAAAATAAAGTTCTGATAGGACATATGAAAAAATTAATATTTTACATATTAGTGAGCAATTTAAATATAATTCAAATATTTAGTCTCAATGATTTTCACACTGTTTTAGCATTAATATCTAGGAAGTTACTAACCCTCCACTTCTATTCCCCCTAGACTGGAAGATATCCTTGGCTGTCCTTATGATTCAATTGAAATCTTCGATGGCCCCAGAATTGCCTCGCTCTCCATGGGGAAGTTCTGTGGTCTAGCAGCTGTGATATTTTTCTCCTCCTCAAACATCATGACAGTGGTGTTCCAAAGTGATTCTGTTATAACCAACACTGGCTTTTATGCTCTGTTCAATGCTATTCCACTGGGTGAAAGGGAGTCAGGTAGGAAGCTTTGGGTAATTTTTCATTGTTAAAAGACAAGACAGTTTCTAACTTGAGAGATTCCCTTATAGTAGAGGCCTGGGATTCTGTTTTTTAAAAACCCCATGCTTAGCTCATCAGCCCTGCTCCATAGGTGCTAGATTTTTCCCCTGGGAAGGCCACATGGGAGAAGCTATAATTCGGCAGTGATATGCATTCTGTATGTAAATGACCACAGTGCTACTGTGGGGTAAGGGTTAATGGTATGAAGGGTCTTGGGGCTGTATCTGTGGTCACCAGACTCTTAGGAACTGTCCAGAGTGCTGAAATGCAGAAGTTCGACATCCCTGTAAGAAGACTCCACTTCCCTCCACCAGCTGGCCCATTTTATACCTTGCATGAGTTGGACCCTAGACTCACTCAAATGAGAGACTTGGAGACTCCTGTTAGCGATGGCACTATGGATAGCTGTTTCAGAACCAGGTCCCAATTTTCACCCTGCGAGGACACTGCCTGCCAATTGTGGGACTTCTGATGCTCACAGGCCCCTGTAGGGACCTCAGCAATTCTTTCAGACCACCAGAAAATCAGGTAGTAAGTCCCTGGATGAAGTTTGGGCTTTGCTTGCTTGTTTCCTTGTGTATTTGATCCTCAAAGCTATGTTTGAGACTCTCCCCTGGGAAAGATAAGTGAGCTCTGACATTTGAAATCCAGAGTACTCATTAACTCCAGCCCACCATTCACTCACCCAGCAATAGTTACAGAGGTCCTACTACGTGCCAGGTCCAGTCATAAATGTGGAGCACAAAGCAAGCAGTACAGCTCCCTGCCCTCCGGGAGTTTACATTCTAGCGTGGATGTGGGTAAGTGGGGGAGAGAAACAAGTACATAAATAAAATGGTTTGGGGTAAGGATGATAAAGGGTAGAGATAAGGGCTGGGAATAAAGAGCCGGTGGGAGAGTAGGTGGTCCCTGGGATGGAGGAGGGGCTACTGTGGACTGGATGAGAAGGGGTGGCCTCTCTGAGGAGGTGGCCTGAGCTGAATGACAATGGAGGGCATTCCAGGCAGAGAGAACAGCAAATGCAGAGGCCCGCAGGGGGACAGAGTTGGGCAGGTTGGAGCAACAGAAAAAGGCCAGTGTGGCAGAGCCCGCGGGCACGGGAAGGGGAGGCCATCCGTACAGAGCCTGTAGAGACAGCAGGTAATTCCAAATGACCATAGCCCTGCAGCCCGGATATGGCCATTGCCACTGGGCTGTATGAAGACACAGCCACCCTTGTGGTCCAGGATAAACCTGCAAAGATACATCCAAAAAAGAAGCCGGGAACCTGCTTCTCCATAACCCAGCATGTGACACAGCGAGATCTGCAGGAACCTGGACTGCCAGGGGCCGAACTGATGCTTTTATACATGTGCTCTCAGTGGCTCCCCACAGCCCTCTGCGAGAGATGTTGCTACAGTCCTCGTTTCACAGATGAGGAAACTGAGGCCCAGCGAGACAAAGTAACTTGTCAAAGTTTACACAACTAGGAAGCAGTAGGACTTGGATTTAAACCCAGTTCTGTCTCACTCTAAAGCCTGAAGCCTATTGTGGACTCAAGATAGCTTTCAGGTTCTGCTCTTGTGTCTGCCCTAGCCACAGACGCAAGAGCTAGAAATCACCTCCTACTTAAGGCTTCCCACACTCAAACATCAAATCCTGCTCTGTTTGGAAGACGGGCCAGGCTGCGGCTGGTGGGCGGCTCGGGCTGGTGCTCAGGACATGTGGCGGTCCTTCACCAGGGGGCCTGGGGCACCGTGTACGATGATCCGTGGGACCTGAGTGAAGCCAAGGTCGTGCGCCGGCAACTCGGGTGTGGATGGGCCATTGCTGATCCTGGAAAGGGCCACTGAGGCCCGGGCTCTGGAGACATTTTCCTGCACAACAGTCGATGTTCAGGAAGTGAGAAGCGCCTTGGCCTCTGCCCCAGTTCCGGCTGGTCAGACCACAATTGTGGCCACCATAAGGACGCCGGCATCATCTGCTCAGGTAGCCTCTCCTCCCGTGGTAGGTCTTTCAGCCAGAGGTGTCTCGGTGATGGATGGAGGCAGGCTCAGAGCAGGGCCAGGGAGTCTCAGGATCATGGCCCGACGGATGAATGCCCCTTCTGCAAGGCGGACAGAGAATGCTGTGAAGCTGACTCCGTTCTGAAGACAAACACACCAGAGCCTCACAGCTGGCTGCTTCTGTTCTCTGTACCCCTCCCAGAGTCCATGCCCTCATTCTTGCATTTGTGACATGGTTCTTGCCTGCTTGAGACCTGCCCACATTAGAAAAACCATCGTTTCTTTGTCCTCATGTCATTTAATTTAGATTTTCCTAAATGTATTGTTCTTTTATGCAGATGCTGGGCACTGGGCTCCAAACGTGACTCCTGCACCCCCAGGTACGTCCAACACTGTGAATTTCCACTATCTCTGAAAAGTTAAAAAGCAATCTAACCTCATCCTGACCTAGGTGCTGGTGGACAATGACTGGATTGGCAATTTCCAATTCTGGCTGCACAATAGAGTCACCCAGGGAGCTTTTGAAATCCCTGATGTCCACGCTGTACCCCCAGACCGGTCACATTAGAGTCAACAGGGTCACTCCCAGGCACCAGTGATATTTAACCCCCCCCCCATGTGATTCCACTGCGCAGCCAAAGTTGAGAACCGTGGCTCAGACAAGGAGCTAAGAGCCGCATTTCCTGAATGGAATTGCATCCAAAACTCTCCTCTGTGGCGGCAGAGCAAGGGGGGGGGTGGGAGCAGGAGGAGAAAGAAGGAGGAATGTTGGATCACCATGGCTGAGAAGAGGGTCAGTGTGGAGAGGAAAGAAGGTGGAAAGGTTTGCCTCTCAGGGATGTAGGCAAAATGAAATGAAAATGAAACCAGGCAGGAAAACAAAGATGCATTAAATGCCAAACTGCTCCTCATTAGGTCAAGAGCAGATGACAGGTAAAGTAAACCATCTGGGGCTCTTCTCTGGGCCTGCTGGCTCAGCCGGGACAGCGGAGTAGCCTATTCAAAGTCAATGTGCACAGTGACCTCCTCTCAAACTCGATCCAGAGCACGTGCAGTCCTGCCTCCTGCGGCTCCTGCTTTGCAGAGATGGGTTCTTGGCCGCCCTCTTCCCTCCCCCGGTACCCCGGGGCCCCACCCAGCCTCCTGCAGCTCCTGCTTTGCAGAGATGGGTTCTTGGCCTCCCTCTTCCCTCCCCCAGCACCCTGGGCCCCACCCAGCCTCCTGCCTGGTCCTGCCCAGTTGCCGCTGCCACCCTCTGCCCCCGGAGGAGTGCCTGGGCACCAGGAAGATGTCTGGGTCGGGGGTGCATCTTGTGGTGTTTCAGGGCCCAGCAAGGTGGCTGGCAACTGTCCCTTCCCTGGGATGGCAGCACCACAGCTCATTTGGTGGGACACTCAGTGGTGGTCTATCACCCACTCCAATCAAGGTCCCAAGTGCATCCCAGAATGGAGGTCTGCATCCCTTGTGGGTGGCCCATGTGCTGTGGGTTGGGGCAGTGGACCTGTGGGAAGGGGAAGTTGATTCTCCATCCCTAGCCGAGGCTCACATTTTTATTCTGCACTGGCACCCTCAAATTATGTCGCTGCTCTGGGGAGAGGCGGGGCACATGGACCCCTTTCTCAGGGACTGGCAAGCGGCTAAGCTCTCTCTGGTTCCTGCTGGTTTTCCTCTTCTTCCCCAACCATGACTCCGTCGTACCCTGGGGCCGGTGAGGAGGAGGGAACAGCAGGAAGAGAATGAGCATGGCTTTCAGTTTGTCAGAGAGCTCTGGGCCTGAGTGCTCCTGGAGCCCAGGGTTCTAAACCGTAGCAGGCCTTTCTCTCCTTTCTCTGCTGTGACATTCCTATTCTAAGACAGAGATGCATCGCTGGCTGGAAACGAGAATGCATCATGGGATAAAAGAAACTACGGGGTAAAATGGAACCATTCATATCTAAATAGTATCTATCCCACTGCAAGCATGAATCCAACAAACCACTTATTGATAGAGCATTACATACCTACGTTGGCACCCAAAAATAAAATAAAATAAGGCTCTTGCCATTTAAAATCTTAAAAGAAATATTATATATCAAGCATTTTAACAAAAGAAAATTGCTTCTGAGACACTTTAGGCTAGAAAAAAATTATTCTGCAGGTACCCAACACTCTTCCTAGCAAGGACCGAGCAGGACAGGCAAGGTGGCGGCACCCATCACTGGGCTGCTCCACGCGTGCCTCACAGCAGGGCTGGCCCAGGAGCGAGACCGCGGGGTAAAGGGATTCTCACACGCACCTCACCTGCTTGCATCAAACTCCTTCCCCACCAAACCTCTAGTATAAACCCCAAACAAGTACCGGCCTTCCAATGCACAGGCTTTCAAACTTCCTCCCCCTTGGCACGTGCCGTGCCGTGGGGATGGAGGACGCGCACAGACCGCAGAGGTAGTCGGCCCTCGGCACCCGGGCCTTCCGCATCTGTGGACTCGGTCATCCTCGGGTGGAAAATATTCAAGCAAAAACAGATGGTTGTGACTGTACTGAACATGTAAATACTTTTATCTTGGAATTATTCTGTAAACAATACAGCATGACAACTATCTACGGCGTTCACATTGCGTCAGCTGTAACAAGTACTCCAGAGATGATTCAAAGTGTACGGGAGGATGAGCTTAAATTACATGCAAATACTACGCCCTTGTACACAGGGGACTTGAGTATCCGTGGATTTTGGTATCCTCGGGGGCTCTTGGAATAAATCCCCCTGGATACCAAGGGACAACAGCATATGCCACGTAGAAATCAAAGCCAAGAGGACATTTGAGAGGGATAAGAAGAGACCTTAAACAACAGAACACTTGCCCAACCTACTCTTCCCCACCTTGGCTCTCTGCATTCAGATTTTCGACCTCCTGGATTTTGGCACTCAATAAATTCCTATGGACACAGCGATATGTTCATGAGCCCAGTGATGCCTCCGTAGTTCCCGGTGACTGGGCAGTCTGAGGACAGCCATTGGCTTGGCGGAACCTAGCACAGAAGAGAAAACAAGTCATATAACTGCGTGTTGTCCGGGATTTCTTGGCAAATCAGCTGAAAAGAAGGGGAGAGATTCCATCCCGGATCAGGGAGAAAAGGGAAATGAGTGTGTCCACACCACTTACTAAAACCCAAGGCCAGGCACAGTGGCTCGCACCTGTGACCCAGTACTTTGGGAAGCCAAGGCGAGAGAGGATCACTTGAGGCCAAGATTTCAAAACCAGCCTGGGCAACATAGCAAGACCCCTGTCTCTATGAAACAAACAATAAAGGGCAGTAATGGGCTCATTCATTTGTACTTAAGCGTAAGATGACTCTGTGATGCTAAGCTCTCCCCTGACTTTCTTTGGTTTTGACTTTTTGCAGCTGTCATCCCTCCAGCCCCTGTGCCACAAGGTAACTTACTGTCACTGAAAGAACCACCTGTAAAGCACTAAGTTGAGTGGAGTCACTTTGATAGTTCATAAGAGCAGAATGGACCTCTGCCTGTCCTGGCTGCCACGAGGAGAGGGAGTGGGTGGGACGGAGCCCTCACAGGTGGGGGGGGGGTTTGCATCCCAGGTGAGGCGGTTTGCGTGGCGGGAGGCAGGGGGAGCATTAAAGTCCAGACCGCCCCGCTCACACGCCACACACGTGTCCAGCCCCGTCTCCAGTCCCGCCCAGGATCAGTTTTAGGGTCCTGCCTGCCCCGTCACGCATCTTTCATCCTCGCTCGCGCCCTCTCAGAGGCACAGCCCCTCACATTAGCCGAGCCACCACTGTGTCTACGCCCCTTCCCCTCTTGCGACCCCGCCGTTGGGTTTGACGGCACGCGGGACTCCACACCTAGGGAGATGCAGCGCGCATGCCTGAAGAAGCTGACTGTGCGTCTGGCATCTGCTTCTACAGGAGGAAGTAACCCTTGCGGGGGAGTGATCTCCAGTCTCTCGGGCTCCTTCTCCAGCCCTTGGTACCCTACGCACTACCCCGCCAACACCGAGTGTGTCTGGGTGATCCGCGTGGCCGACGAGTTCCGCATCGAACTGACGATCCCGAGCCTCAAGTAAGAGCTTTGCCTTTTCTCCACTTCATCAAAGCCAGGTCAGATGTGGATCCCAGCTTCCCTCAAAGCTGTGGCCTTTCTGTGGGACAAAGCCTTTCCTATTCTGGGTGAGGCTTGGTCTGGTGGTCTGAGCTGCAGAGGATCCTTTAATCTCTTTGCTCAATTAATTAATCTCTTTGTTCTCCATGCAATGAGAACACCCCAAGAGCCTTCCTGACACCAGCCCATGGAGCCATCACGGGGGTGACCCGCACGTAGAGACCTCACCCCTTCACTCTCAGCCAGCTCCATTCGAGACGCGAACGTCTTCCTCATTCCCGTCGTCTGAGCTTCCTTCTTCCCTCTGACGCTGCACAAATCTGCTTCCTCTTCCCTCCAGGAATGTCTATCATGTTCCTTCCAAGACGTGTCCTCTATGGATTAAGTACACTCATCCCTCCCATCATGCACCTTGCACTTCCTACTTCTTTCTCCATCACTCATTCTTCAGGAATTCATCCTATTTTAATATATGTATTTATATGCACATATATTTTTCATATGTACATACATAGACTTAAGTAACTTTTGCATGAAAATATTACTTTTCCTAATGATGTTTAACCTTGGTTTCATCTTTCTATATTGGGTTGCATCTGGGTCATTCTCTTTTCCTGATTTTGCCCCACGGGTGAGCCCCAGCCCCCTGCCACTGCTTTCCATCTGTGTCCGCCGGCCACTGCACTTGAGGGTCTGAGTGGTTAAATGCTGCCTTTAAAAACGTAAAAGAGTATGAAGCAGAGTAGGAGTGGATTCAGTCGGTGTTTCCTGGTGGTTAAATTCTTTTTGGACAGGGAGGAAATAAACTAGTATGGAGGGTGCATTATGTAGTATGAGCAAAATTTATTTATCATTAATTCATTCGATAAATGTTTTTTGGAAGCAAGGTGAGGAGATTTGGTACCATAGATGTTAAATCTATGAAATTCACAGTTCTAATGTTTTGGGGCACAGAGTTTCATTGTATCACTTCCAGGAAATGGTTGTTCTAAACAGTTGCAATGCCCAAATCCCCTGTAATCTCAAGGGTATTACTCTGACCTAAGTTTCCCACTATGACTTTGGAATGCACAAATCAAGGAGCTGTTTAATGTGCTGCCCAGAGCCAGGATGCAGTTGCTGATTGCTGGGGTTTGATGTTTTGGAGTCTAGATTCATTGATGTTTATCTTTTGCTTCTCAGAACATAAAGTTAGTTATTATTTATACCCATGGTTCTCCACTGGGAGTGATTATATACCCTGCAGGACATTTGGCTGGGTCTGGAGACACTTTTGATTGTTACATGGGGGTCACCACTGTCATCAGCAGATGGAGGCCAGGGATGCAGCTAAGTGTCCCCACATGCACAAGGCAGCCCCCCAGCCCCACCCAGCAGATGATTGTCTAGCCCCCATTGTCGGTAGTGCTGAGATTAAGGAGCCCTGATTTACGCTGAGGCTTGCTTTGCTTTTCTCTGTTTCAGCTTCTACAAAACATTGCTTCACACTCAATTTGTAAACATCATATCCATATTTAACACATTGGCTGCCACCCTAGAAAAATTTTTTTTCCTTGGGGCCACAGTGTTTTCTTACCAAAATAGAATAAAAACTTCGGAACAAAATGATCCTTTCTAATTTAATGAAAATTTTGTTATTTTTTATTGTGTTCTGTGTTTTCTTAATGAAAATGTAATATAAAAACTTGAAAATTAATAATGTAAAAACTAATGTGAAAACTTGAAAAATAGTTCATGAGGGTAAAGTGTTTTTCTTGACTTGTCAGGCTTAAGTGTAATTTAAAGGTAAACATAAGTAGAAAAATGAAATTTATTGGCTTCTATTCATTTAATCCACATTTTTAGAATTAAATTGCCAATATTGATTGTAATAATAAGAACTTCAAAAAGTAAGATTTTCATGAAGCAACTGCAGTTTTGCCCTGGTTTTGCTTCATGAGGCCCCAGGCTCAGAACTAGCATTACTTAAATACAACTCACATGGCAGTTAATGTGTTAAATTATGCCATTTCCTTCTTGCCAAGTGCAGTGTGTCTCGTTTTCTGATGAAATAATTTCTCAGGTTGCAGTGTCACCTGTTACTACCACACCATAGTCACTATACACACAAATGTTATCATTTTCTTTTTCTTAAATAATTTGAAAAAGGGTTAGTTTGAGCTACTGGGCTTTTACTTCACTGGAACAGATGTGTTCAGCAATGAGCAGGTTTTCAAATCCAGTACTTAGTTTGTGTACAAATGTAGTGAAGTCCATTGTGTATGTATTATGCAATGAGAATTTATAATGTAGGCATCAAAGGCTAATTACTGTTGTTCAAATGCAAATGTGCCTATCTCACATTTTCATCCTGTCACCTCATTGTTGATGTTCTTTCAACATCTATTTCTTGAGCCCCTACTCTGTGTGGGCCCTGGTCTAGGAACAGACTTATAGTGCCCACTAAGAAAGGTAAGATCTCTACTCTTACAGAGTTTATCTTCCAGATGGGGAGAAAAATTGTACTCAAATAAACCATTAACTCAATGGACAATTTCAGTTAGTGATAAGTTGATAAATGCCGTGGCTAAAAAATATACACATAATGGTAATAGGACAGAGCACAAGGGGGAGAAGACAGCACGAGTAGGATGGTCAGAGTCAGCCTCTCTAGTCGGCCCGGTGGGATGAAACATGTCATGACAGTTTGGGGCGTTAGCAGAAAGAGTGGACAGACCCTCAGAACTTCTGCAGCTGTCATCCTTTCTTCCTGCTCTGGGTCTTCCGGAGGGTTTTACTCAATGAGACCCTGTTGGACACTTGCCACCACCACTGGAAGTGGCAGGATTAGAATTCCAAAGTCAGGGGACACTCAGGAGACACTCGAGGTAGAGAGGAAGAGGATGGGAGAGACGGAAAGCCAAGACAGCAGGTGAGAGATGAGAGCCCCACAGCCTGGGACCATCCCGGCAGGGAAGGACAGGAGGGCAGACTCAGGCCGAGTGACGAGAGGTGGGTGTGGCTGGAAGGAGGCGGCAGGGATGACTGCAAATTCCAGTTGTATGTTGTGCAAAAGATGACTCTATTTTAAAACACTCTGCAGATTTCCTTCGGGAGATTAATTTTGCCTTCACATCCTCAGATTAGAGGACATCTATGGGTGCCCCTATGACTTTATTGAAGTATTTGATGGACACCAAGCTGCTGCACTCTCCATGGGCAGATTCTGTGCGGGAGCAGAGCTCACGTTCCTCTCCTCTTCAAACATCATGACCGCAGTGTTCAAAAGTGATGCCATGGTCACCAACACAGGGTTTTATGCCCAGTACAACTCCGTTCAGCACAATGAAAAGGAGAGTGGTGGGTATCCTTACCTTGGACATTGGGAGGAAGTTAGATCTAATTTGTGATATTTCCCTTTAAGAGAGGAGACTTTTTTTAAAGAGACGGGGTCTCTCTTTGTTGCTGAGGCTGGAGTACACTGGCTCCATGATAGCTCACTGCCGCCTTGAACTCCTGTGCTCCAGCAATCCTCCCACCTCAGCCTCCCAAAGTGCTGGGGTTGCAGGTGTGAGCCACTGCACCCAGCCTAAGATCTATAATTTTAAAGATGAGGTCTTGCTATGTTGCCCAGGCTGAACTTGAACTCCTGGGCTCAAGCAATTCTCCCACCTCAGCCTCCCCAATCACTGAGATTACAGGCATGGCCACCACACCTGGCAAGAGAAGAGACACTTTGTAAATCCAACCTTCATTAAGGACATCCTGAGTGACATCCATAGACACTAACAGCCCCCACTCCCACTTCTCACCCCTGCTAACAGCCCCCACTCCCACCTCTCACCCCTGCTCTTCACTCACTACCACTTTCTTCTGCCAAAGCAACCTAGCTGAAGAAACAGTTGGTTGAAATCTCACGTCTAATACTGACCATGGGTATATAACTGGAGAACCCAAAAGAGAACCACCTCCTTCTCTAAAGAAGGAAAGGAGGACTCAGTAGGAAAAATCCTTCTGGGGCAAAACTATCACAAACTACAACTACCAGCCCTCCTGCCCCCAGCCACCCACCCAGAACATTCACAGATGCTTAGGTCCTGCGGCAGGAAACAGGGAACACTGCAGAGCCCCCAGTGGCTTGTGCTCAGGGTGACCGTGTACTTTATCTTCCTATGGGGATTCTTTTGAGAGTTTCAAAGGAATTCTGAAATAATTATCAGGCATTGACTGATCTACAACAGTCATAAACTGGGACTATCCCAGGCAAATCAGAATCCAGGGCCACCCTGACATGGAACATGTCCCCAAGGGCTGGAGAGCATTTTCTACTTGCAGAAGGCCCTAGAGTTTGGGGACAGCGCCACAGCTCAGAAGTCCCTGTTTACCTGTCCCCAGGTATGTCCCTGCGACTGGTGAACGGCAGCCACAGGTGTGAGGGCCGGGTGGAGGTCTCCTACAACGGCACCTGGGGCACAGTGTGCGACAACAGCTGGGACCTGATGGACGCCAGGGTGGTGTGCCAGCAGCTCGGCTGTGGCGAGGCCCTGTCAGCCCCAGGCAAGAGCTACTTCGACGGAGGCACCGGCCACATCATGCTGGATGGCGTACAATGCACTGGGAACGAAATCAAGGTGTGGCAATGCACGCACAACGGGTGGCTCTCCCACAACTGTGGACACCACGAGGACGCCAGTGCCATCTGCTCAGGTGAGTGCCTGCGGGCACAGGCACCTCTCAGGGACAGAGAGTCTCCCCTATCAGCCACCCCTGGGAAGAGAGGTGTCAACAGCAACAGGCAATTACTCAGAAATGAGCCCTGGGCTTCAAGCCAGCTTCTTAAGTCAATTTGCTTAAGAGTTAGTGCTCTTTCTCCTACATTGCTGCACCTGTTGTAGATCCCACCTGGAAAGCTGTGGTGAAATGATCCTGTTCCTGGAATGATAAGCGGGATGCTGGCGGCAATGCACTCTCCCCTGAATAGGCATAGTAGACGGGGTCCAGCAAGTGCTCAGTGCCAGGCTCTGTACTGAAGCCAGTGCATTCGTTTCTCATTTAACCTTCGTAACTGCTAATAACCTAGAGACTATCAGCATAGGCATTGATCAATAAGGCGACAGAGGCATATGCAAGATCACACACGAGTCCATGCTCTGTAAGTATTGCCTCCTCGACGTGCCGTGCTAAAGCCTGAGCTCAACTCTGTTACTAAAGCTCAGCCACCCCAATAACTGACCGAAAGCAAACAAATGCCATGTTTCACCTGAGCCATCCTGAGACGGAAATTCACAGTATACTCCCGCATGCAAGGCACTGCCGTAGGCGGCCAGTCTCGTAACTAACGTTGATGGGCTTCGACACTGCGTTCCCGCTGCCCTGAATCGAATATGTTTGATTCTGACAAAAGCAGCAGATTTTCTTTTTATGAATTATGTGACCACTTAATCTGTCTCTCATTCTCTCTTCTGTCTTTGAACAGGTGCCGATGACAGTTCACACCTAGGACCCACAGGTACTGCTTTTCCACACAGTTCAACCAGGTGCCAGGTCTGTGATGTATGTGAATCCCGGCCACACTTCCGTCCTGAAGTTGAGGCCTAGTCGAATTAAATTCTCTGTTGCAGGCCGGGTGCAGTAGCTCACGCCTGTAATCCTAGCACTCTGGGAGGCCGAGGAGGGTGGATTGCTCAAGGTCAGGAGTTTGAAACTAGCCTGAGCAAGAGACCCCGTCTCTACTAAAAATAGAAATTAATTGGACAACTAAAAATATACAGAAAAAATTAGCCGGGCATGGTGGCGCATGCCTGTAGTCCTAGCTACTCTGGAGGCTGAGGCAGAAGGATTGCTTGAGCCCAGGAATTTGAGGTTGCTGTGAGCTACCTACAGCACTCTAGCCAGGGCAACAGAGTGAGACTTTGTCTTAAAAAAAAAAATTCTCTGTTGCTAATCAACAAGAGCAATGCAGCCCATTAGGGTTGACAAAATGTTGCCCAAGGGACAGCATGGGGGGTACTGGTGGGAGGGAGAGTTCAGATTCCCCCGAAGTGCAATCTCTCTCGGCCACTGAGATGCCCTGAGTCGGTCCGTGTCCACTGGGAGGAGAGGGTCAACCGCTTGCAGGAATGATCGCGCTGTGACGCGCTGGAGGGGACCAGGAAACAGACATCCCAAGGCCAGCCCTCAGCAAGCTGAATCCAGTGACACCCATCCATGCACGGGGTGGGCAAGTGTTCAGTCATCTCTGTCCGTCGGGGTACGGAGAAGTCAGACATGTTGAGTGCCAGTTTTCCTGACTGTTTTCAGTATCTGGATAAAAGTCTTCGTTCACAGTATGATTTTTCCCTGTGGATTTCCACAGACTCCACTGGCGACAGCCAGCCTGCAGGTACCCCAGCTTTATGTAAGCCCTTTACGTGGTTTCGTATTTGCTTCCTTTCCAATTGTGGACAAATTCCACGCCAAGTAAAACATTTCAACCTTCAGTTGGAAGCTTGAGGCAATCTTGGTGTTGATTTCAACTGGGATATACCCTCAGGCATCTTCTAACACAAGCTGATTTGTAACACACCATACTGAGAAAGGCTGCTTTGTCTTGCCCTGTCTTTGCACAGTTAGCATTAAAATGTGTGCACAGGGACTCATAAAGCCCTTTCAGCCTTAGGTGGCTGTCATTTCCTCCTCAAAAACACACGTTTAAGATCTTCATTGCCCCAAGGACAGCCTTGGGAGCTCAGGGTACTCGTGATGCTAACTTGCTTAGTTATCAGCAAAAGCAGCCCTGGAATAACTCTTCTTCACGTCTGTCCTCACTCTGTCCCTTCATGACCCTCTGAAAACACCAGCAGAGATCAGTGCCCCCTTTTGACAGGGTTTCTTCACTTTCTTGCAGATGAAAGTTTCCACTGTGGTGGTCTGCTCACAAACAATTCCGGCTCCTTCTCCAGTCCTTGGTTTCCAAAAAAATACCCGACAAATGTGGTTTGTGCTTGGGACATACGAGTGGACGTCAGGGCTCACGTCAGACTCACGTTTGAAGTGGTAAAGTGAGTGCACGCTTCCTACCTTACTGCCGTCCTTACCCAGCCGTGCCTCCCTCCCCCTAACCCGCCCCCAAAAAGCTTTCCATATTTAATTCTCCAAAGCGAGCTAGGCCTTGAGGCTTGTTGTAATATTGATCCAAATTTGAAATACACAGATCTTTGAACCCAGCAATTCCGGTTCCAGGAATTTGGTCTACAGATAAAGTCTCATGCACACTGAGGATAAGCGTAGTTATGCTGGCCATAGATTGGAAACAATCTAGGTGTCTCAGTTAAATGGATTTTGGTACAGGCACCTATGGCTGTCACACAAACAGTGTGTGTTGCTGTGGAATGGGCTGCAAGAACGCCACGACAGTGGCAGAGGCTGCTGCCATTTGTGCATAGACAGTCTCTAGCAGGAAATAAACAGAAATTGCTCACTGACGCTGCTTCTGGGAAGGAGAGTGAAACGAGAGGAGGACTAGTTAGGGGATTTTTACTCTTCCCCACATGCCCATCAATGCCACTTAAATGTACTCCATGTGCTTGAAATGCATCTTCAGAAAGTACCATTGAATTTAAACTTTAAAAATTAAAAAAAAATTTTAGAAACAGGAGGATTCCTACTGCCCATGTCCACAGGGTCATTATTCCTGCAACCTGTGTGAAGAGACACAGGTTTCAGACAGTTTCTTCCTAGCCCTTCCTGAACCAATCTGGGTGATGCCTATCGGGAAGAAAGCCCCCTGTGCACTGAGTCCAAATGACACTGCTTCATTTCACAGAATGGAGAACTTCTATGGCTGTCCGTACGACTTCATCGAAATCTTTGATGGCCCACAGAACGAATCTTTCTCGCTGGGGAGGTTCTGTTCCCGGACAACCCCAGTATTCACCTCCTCCTCCAACCGCATGTCCGTGGTGTTCCACAGCGACGCGATCATCACCAACATCGGCTTTTACGCAAATTATGAGTCTTTTGTGCAAGATGAGAACGACACCGGTAGGTCCTCAATCGTCTTAGCCCCTGGCCTGCTTGTATCCTTTCTTGGAGCCAGTTTTATTCAAAACCATGCACAGTCTCTTTCCACCTGGCCTCGAGAACTCTATTCCACGCTGGGAGCAGCCACGAGTTTCTGGCTTGGTGATTTTCACTTTACATGAGGCTTTTAAGGGCTCGCTGTCTTTTTTATTTTTTTCAGAATATTGCAGGGGTACAAATGTTTTGGTTACATAGATTGCTTTTATGGCACTTGAGTCAAAGCTGTATGGTTGACCTCATGAAGCAGACAATTAATGCAGTCTGGGGGGAAGCTTTTAAACCACCCCTCCCAAGTCACCTTGATACGAGCGAACAAACCCAAAGCCCTTTGCAGCTGGCTTTACCCCATGATGGTCCCCTCCCCCAGCGTGAGTGGGGACCCTCCAGGCTGGTCAACCCAGAGGAAAGGTCCATGTTCCGCTCTGAGCAGCGGCAAAGGGGCAGCCCCAGAGTGATAACGGCGTGTCTGCCTTTTCCAGACCTGGCCCTCAGGCTGGCCGATGGCAGGCACCGGTGCGAGGGCCGCGTGGAGCTGCGCTACAACGGCAGCTGGGGCACGGTGTGCGATGACGGCTGGGACCTGCGTGATGCCCAGGTGGTCTGCAGGCAGCTGGGCTGTGGCATGGCGGTGGCAGCCCCAGGCTTGGCAGATTTCAAGAGAGGCCTGGGCCCCATCGTTCTGGATGACGTGGAGTGCGTGGGCACGGAAGCCAGGCTGTGGCAGTGCCTCCACCGTGGCTGGCTCATGCACAATTGCGGCCACCACGAGGACGCCAGCGCCATCTGCTCAGGTGGGCCTGATTCTGAGCAGGGTGGGCTAGGGACATTCTGTCCCAGGAGTCTCAACCTAACCGCACTCAGGGTAGGAGGGAGAGCCCAGGCAGTCCCCAGGCCACTGGTCCCCAAGCATTAGCCACTCAGGCCCCTGCATGACCCCTGCCACACCCTTCTCCTGCCCACACTATCATTTTTATTCATCCTTTCTCTTCAACTGACTCTTCTTTTTAACTTAAATGAGTTCATTTTGCAAGGAAACTTGGTATCACCACCATAAACAGAGAGCCAGCAGCACTTGCCACAAATAGTACATAAAAACACACACAGTGGCAATAAAGTAACAGTTAAACTGCTTAAAAATTAAAATAAAATTAAACATTGAACTTCCTAATCTAATCAATTTACACCCATGCATATCTGAAAATATCCTTACTCAGAATAGAACTAAATGTGAATTTTTACATTTTAATGCAATAAGCATGCGACTCAAATATAAGATGCAGCACCTCAAATTATCTTGCACCCCAGCAGCGACGAGTCACACATTTGGAGGCCATCTCTCTGATTCAGTCCCCTCATTTTACAGGTCGCACAGAGAGCTTTCCTAATAGTGGGAGCCCACATCCTAGCCCAGGGCTCTCATTCCTCAGATTTATCCCAGTTGAGTTTTTGCAAGTAAATTCAGTGGCTGGAGTCAAAAGTCCCCGTCCTCTCTGCACCCTCTGGGTGTGGCTTGGGAGGTGCAAACTGGCTTATCAGCTAGAGTTCCGAGAGGAGAGAAGTGAAGGGACAGAAGCAATGTTCTGAGCAAAAGAGAAGCTGAAGCCGCATGTGACATCAGCAGACAGGGCTGGGGCTTAGAGAGCCAGGAGGTTTGGAACCAGGGTGCCGGCAGAGCCGTGGGGATGGGTCAGAGGTGCCTGGAAGGGCCTCCAAGCAGCAGCTGTGAGTGTCCTTTCACCCTGACCCTGGAGCTCCCAGCCCATCTCCGCGGTTTACTCAGGGGCTTTCGGCTCCCTCCTTGCTGAGGTTGGTAGTGCAACCTCACTTGAGATAGATGTGGTCCTGCCCTTTAGGAACTGGCGTTTACTGGGAGATGAGGCATCCCCTCCAGGAAGAATCACAAAACCAATCCAACCGACAAGACAGGTGCTCCACACCAGGCACCACTGGGGCCATGGTTTGGGGGCGGCGGGGGGGGAGGGGGGAGAAAAGGAAATACAATGACATTACAGTGTCCAACAGCAGGACAGATATGAACCCAGTGACCCAGGACATCCAGTGGTTGTAACTATGGTAACTCAGGGCCATTCTTAGATGCCCAGACTGGGTGCAGTTTCCCCCAAACAAGACATGGGACCTTTATGATTGACATAAGCAAATCTACCTATCAGGTTCCAGAAGAGGGAAAGGAGCTGACCCACCCACACTTCCTATGTCTCTCACAGCCTCTCTGCCATACCCATCACCAGTGGCTGCCGTGAGTCACCCAGCCTCAGGTAATTTCAGTCGTTCTGAGTTGATCAGCTATAACTCGCCTTGGCAAAGACCCCTGGGCTGTAGGGTGGTGGCTTAGGGGCCAAATGCCTTGGGTTTGTCTTCATCACTTACTAGCTGTGAGGCCTCTAGCAAATCCCTGAACTGCTTCATGCCTCAGTTTCCTCCTCTGGACAAGGACGAGGAGGGTAACTCAGTGGATTTCCCAGTGTAGAGCAGCAGCCAGAGCAGCACTTGCCCTGCAGTGGGGGGTGCAGGCTGCGTAGACATCAGCCATGATCTGACTCGCACCTCGTCCAAGGCACAGTCCTGTGGGGTTTATCACTGTACACAGCTTTCTGCTTGGCAGAACTGTTAAGAATGCAGAAGCCGAAGGGGCCACTGTTTAGCTCGCTCCTGTTTCTGTTTGGCCCAGTAGTTGTCACAGTTCAAATTCAGTCAGCGGCTCTTCTACGGCAGGTCTTTAACCACTTCGGTGCGGTGCTCACCCTCCGCGAAACCTTGCCCACAGCCGGCACTCACAGTCCACACGATAGTCTGTGCTGTGCATTGACGACAAATCCGTTTTGCTCTTGTGCGATGAGGAAAACTTGAAAGCACTGAAAGCTTGTTTTACTTTACAGGCAGCTTCACTTGTGATGTCAATCAGAATAGGTAACACATACATATATGTTTTCATTATGTTATTTTTAAATGTTCACAATTTTATTTTGATAAGTGAAAAATTAGAAAAGTCACATCACGGCTGTCGGCTACAGTCGATGTGCGCGTTCATGTGTGGCTGTCGGCTACAGTGGACGCTGGAGCCAAAGTGGTCACGAGTGAGGTACAATATGAATAGAAGAGTTGGGAGAAAGAAATGGCCCCAGACCTCCAGACAAAGCACCGGGGCGGGTTGTACTGCACAGCAGAGGTCCCCAAAGGATGCTTTCTTGACTTTAAAATGTACCTGTTAAAAAACAACGTATCAGCCATGATGCTTTGGCTTTCTTCAGCTTGTAGGAGCGGGCTTGTGTTTCCTGCGCACGCGCGGCCTGGGCGGCGGGAGTTTCCCCACAGAGAAGGGCACGAGCACCGGAACCTGTGTCTGCACAGGACAGTGCGGAGCCACGACGAGTGACTGACAGTTAAATATTTGGTGCTTAACCAAGACGTTGTATAATTTTCTTCTTTTGCTTTCCATCTGCCCTTAGCATCTTTTCCGAAGCCGACAGAGGTGTCCACATCCACAGGTAATCCTTCCTTGTCGCTTCAGTCGCCTTCCCTTCGTAGGGCTGTAGTTGAGAGGTGCTCTGGCATTAAGTGGGAGGAAGCGTCCCTGCTGGACACGCCCTTTCCACACGTGTCTGCCCTGCTCCGCGGCCTCAGCCTGGCCCTGGAAATGGCTGGTGCCCGAGTAAGGGCTGGCGATGTCTGGGTTCCCCCGGAAAATCTGCGATTGGAAAGTGACAGAGAAGAAGAGCCTGTGAGATACAAGAATGGCTTGGGGGGGCTGGTGTGGAAGGCTGGGGGTGCCCTGCTGACCCCAACCGCATGTCCCCACCCTTGGCTGTGTTCCGAGTATAGCAGCGGCATCTACTCCCTTTTGCAATACTCCCCTTTGGACACAGGGGCCAGCCTGCAATGACAGCACTTTGCATTCCCTGGGATGTCTTCACCCGTGGGTTATCCCTGACCCTGGGAACAACGTAGATGGGAGCTATTGTTACTGTCACTTGATTAGCGTGTGCAAAGGCACACAGAAACTCACACACGCACACACAGAGTTAGTGCATGCCTGATAGCTTCTCATGAAAACTCCAGCAAGACCTGTGAGTGTTGGAAACCAAGCCTTCACGGCACACAGGGAAAGGACGGCCACTCAGAGGTGCAGGCCGCTGGTCGCACTGGCCGAGGAGCAGCCGCTTCTTAACCAACTGTAATCTCGAAAAACACAGAGTAGCACCCAAGGCAAAAGTAAATGAAATGAAATAAAGTAAAAGGGGAAGTGGATTTGTTACCCTCAATTGTCAGTGCACAATTCCTGGGAAATAGCTGGCTTTTCTGGTGGCCTTTGTGGATGAGCATTCACAGAGATCATTTTCTGCAATGTGCACCAAGGTCTGGGCCTGCGGCTGGCAAATGGGTCCGGAAGGTGTGAGGGCCGGGTCGAGGTGTACCACACCAACGTCTGGGGCACCGTGTGCGATGACAGCTGGTCCATAGAGGATGCCCACGTGGTCTGCAGGCAGCTTGGCTGTGGCCTGGCCCTGTCTTCCCTCCCGGGGGCCAGGTTCGGTCCCGGGTCTGGCAGCATCCTCCTCGATGACGTCAACTGCACGGGAAGGGAGTCCTCCCTGGAGCACTGCCCTCATGGCGGTTGGTTCACCCACAACTGCGGGCACCATGAAGATGCTGGCGTCATCTGCTCAGGTGAGTGAAGGTCCCTCCTGAGCCAGTCACGGAGCTGCCCAGGCCAAGCTTGGGATTTCCAGAAGAGTCTGGGAACGCCTCTGTTCCCTAAACCTTCCCCCATGGGCAGGACAGTGGATTTCTGTTGAAACTCCCAAAAATATGCCAACTGTTTAATATGTGGGAGGGCTCCATCAACCTGAGTGTCTGCAAAGGCTAATCGGTTGTAAAACAATGAAAGTGATGGTACTTATTTCATAAGAGTTGTTGGGAGGACTAAGTGAGACAATGTACATGGAACAATTGGCAAGCATCTGATACACCATAGATACACAAGTATGTTACTATTTTCTTGTTGGTATTTTAGTTACTAAAGCAAGTTCTATCAGCATCACTGCCTCAGAGCTTTTAGCGGGGTGAGACCACCCACACCTGGCTAAAAGGTGTGGTATAAACCTGTGTGTGCCTGGTTTCCTCGGTGACATTTAAACTGAAACAATGATCCTCCACCACCCTGGTTCATGTTATTAAACACCCTCATGTTTCCCTTATCTCTGCAGATTCCTCAGCTGCTGGACATCCAGGTACTGTGAGTTTACATCCGTTTTATTTGCTGACTGGTGACTAGCCATCTAGTACAGGTGTCGCCACACTGGGTCTCCCTTACAAGCTTTAACTTTTTTTAACAAGCTCCAGATCCTTCCACCTTCCAGAAGGGGAAGGTCCAGGGCTGTTTTCCATTCCCTTGGGGTTGCAGTGTGCCTACAGGGAAGGCTGGGTGCCAACAGGTGGCAGGAGGGCCTTGGGCAGGTGGGCTTGGGGGCAGGAGGGCCTGGGGCAGGTTGACCTGGGGGCAGGAGGTCCTGGGGCAGGTGGGCCTGGGGGCAGGAGGGCCTGGGGCAGGTTGACCTGAGGGCAGGTGGGCCTGGGGGCAGGAGGGCCTGGGACAGGTGGGCCTGGGGGCAGGAGGCCCTGGGGGCAGGAGGGCCTGGGGCTGGTGGGCCTGGGGGCAGGAGGGCCTGGGAGCAGGAAGGCCTGGGGGCAGGAGGGCCTGGGGCAGGAGGGCCTGGGGCAGGTTGGCCTAGGGGCAGGAGGGCCTGGGGCAGGAGGGCCTGAGGCAGGTGGGCCTGGGGGCAGGAGGCCCTGGCTATAGGAGCCGCTTCTTCACCTGCAGCCCTACCTTGGTCCTGGGATGAAGCTGCTGAACGCTGTGGTTCTAACAAGGTACCCCCAGCCAGTGGGGCTGTATCTTCACATCCCAACATGAATTTTATTTCTTATTTTGTTATTCTTAATCAGAACAATGTGTACTCATTTAGGAGCTATCACCGCATTTTCAATGGTAATATCATTGATTAGGGACTGGATGGGATTGTTTAAAGGCAGACTGGCAGATATGATGGTATTTGAGAAGAGTATGAAATTTCATTGTGTGTGTTTGGGAGGTAATAGTGGTGACAATGTTTCTTTTCCATATGTGTAGTTTCTTCAACTCCTGGGGAGCATCCGCGTGTTTTCCATCCAACAGGTACTTTTTCCATTCTTATGTTTTGTAACTTTTTTGGAGGCTGAGGTCCCACCATTTGTGCCCCACAGAAAAGTAGCTTTTGTGGTTTCCGTGGCCTGGCGCTGTGCAGAGTAAGGCCGTGCCCATTCCGGCAAGCGGGTAACATGGCGGACTCTCCCGGCGTGGAGACCTTTCTGCGGAGAGCCAGCTCGCCCACCCACCCTGAGAAGGCCTGTAAGAAGGCCAGGCTCCACACAGTGCCCTTGTAGACCCTTCTAACAGGGACCCCTCGAGCCAGCCCGATCTCTGGGGGCCCAGACCCTGACAACCAGCTTCCCCTGCTCTGGGCTCAGGGGTCAGTTACTCGTGTCCGGTTCCTTACTGTCTTCTGCAGGTGATGCTGTATCTTCCATCGCTTGATTTTCCAATTCCCAGCCACCTCCATCATCCCCAACAAAAACCTTCTGGTTTTCTAAATTCAAGGAAAGCAAAATTAATTTTGTTCTGAGAATTTCATAATGTTCTTTGAGAGACCGGGGTTAGAAAAGCAAAGTCAGAACTCCAGGCATTCAGCTTCGTTGTTTTGAATTTTTTGAAAAACAGCATGAGGAATGACACCCGAAATAGGGTGAAAGCAGAACGTTAAGTACAATGTGTCTTCTGCAAAGCCGGCGTGTGGCCTGCACTCCCCCAGCTGTCCGGGGAAGTCACATTGTACAGTCTGTGCTAAATTCCAGGTAGGAAAAGCAGTCCTGTCTTTTCCTCTGGGTATATAACACTCCCGTGGGCATGGGCTGCCCCAGCAGCAGCCTGCAGACCAGGGGAACCCTCCAGCTGGAAGTGCTGTCTCATTTGAGAATTGAAGGAACCTTCTCCACCCCCCATGGTTCTCGGCTCTCGCTGACCTGCCTGGGTGAGGTTGGCCAACGGGAGGAGCAGGTGCAAGGGCCGCGTGGACATCCACCACAGTGGCACCTGAGGTCCGTGTGTGATGACCTCCGGGGACTACCTGCTGCCCAGGTGGCATGCCAGCAGCTGGACTGTGGGGCAGCCCTGGCAGCCCCAAGGAGCGATCTGGTTGGATCAGCCTGGGGAGTGTGAGCCCCTAGGCCTGTCCGTCCATAGCTGTGGGCACCACGAGGACATCAGGGCCCACTCTGCCCAGCCTGGATTTCCCTCCCAAGCAGCACAGCCATTTCTCCCACACCTGGGCACAGGGGTCCCACCCAGGTGAGGTGAATGACTTGTCCCAGTTTGCCTGGACTTTCCTGGTTTTAGCACAGAATGTCCCATGTCCTGGGAACCCCCTTGGACTCAGACAACCAGATCGCTGGTCACCCTAGTCTGAGGAGAGGAGAGTCCCCTGCCCAGTATCCCAGCCTGGTCCCCTGGCCCTAAGAAGAGAACCTGTGAGCAAAAACAAACCTGGGAACCAGGGAGCTGTACCCCTGCTCCGGGACACTTTTTAACTTCCAGAAATGGTTTTTCTACATGGGCCAAGCTCATACATTTCTCATGAAGGTAGTTCTCAGAGAGAGCTATGAACACTCCTCTGACCTGCTAATTGTCCAAGTAGGGACTGAGTTTCCACTACAGGCAATTTTATACAACCATTCAGGAACGCTGAATGAGAATGTTAACTCCTGCGTTGTTACCTTTTGCTACTAAATAATTACACGAAACAAACACCTGTGACCTTCCACTCCATGCCGGGGTCTCACGGAGGCCATCCCTACCTCGCCGGAGGGCTGGCTGGGTGGAGACCAGCTTCCCAGGCAGGGTACAGTCGAAGGTCCGGGAAAGGATATTTCTATTCCACTCTATTCTTCAGTAGTTTTTTTAATCTGAAGATTTGGTGTTGGTGCTTAAAACAAATCATGGTGTCTCAGGATAAAAACTCTGAGTTAAAACAGCGTCAAATGTTCACCGGCCTGTTTTGTAGCCTCAAATCTCCCAAGTGACCATCAGCCTCCCTGGTAATGTTCAGAAAGATGTTTCCAATTAAGGCCAGTGAGTCGGGGTCTGGGCTTAATCTTTAAAAATGCTGATCCGCCCATGAGGTGCTGCGTTGGCCAGAATGTCCCGAAGCACCACACTGGCGCAGGTGGGGACCCGGCCTGTTCCCTCAGGTGTTTGTAACGTTCCCTCCTCTAACACGAATGCCTTGCGTTTCCTTTCCAGCTGTGAAAGTCGCCCCAGCGTCAGCAGAAACGGCTCCCACAGTTGGTAATCCTTTCGTTGTTTCTCTTACAGCTTCCTGGTTACTGGATCTTTCTAGGGGACGCCCTGGGGTTACAGCCAGTAATGTCAGCACCACCTAGACGCAGGCCTCCCCCAGGACTGAGGAAATACAGAGCTGACAGGGAGGGAGAGGTTTGGGGCAGAGCTGGCTGCTGCCTGGCTAGTCTCTGGTTCTTGAAAATGTTTTCAATTTTGAGCCTGGGCCAATGGACAAGGCTCACAGGAAATAATGAAAGGTTGAGTTTGATACATCCCAATGCTGAGGCTTGGCTTCAAAAATAGATATTTATCCTTATCCTTGTAACTGTATTTCCAATACAAAGAAGGAAAAGGTGAAACAAAGTATTGGGAGTCACAAATAGCGTGGGAAAGCCGGTCGCTGAATCTATAAGCACTCATTAGACCCAGTTATAAGCACTCATTAGACCCAGTTCTCTGAGACGGAGAAACAGGGAGCAAGTTTCTAGGGTTCTGGAATTGAGGGTGTATTATACTAAAAGCTAAAGAAAAGTCTCTTTATAAATTTCCTGCCAGAAGAGCTGATCACACTCCAGTGACAACCCCCCCCCCACCGGTCTTCCCAGACTTGCCCATCACCAGGTTGGCGGGTGGGAGGAGCCAGTGGGACAGGCGAGCTGAAGTCTACCACGATGGCACCTGGGGGACCGTGTGTGACGACCTCCGGGCATCAGCACTGCCCACGTGGTGTGCGGCCGCTGGGCTGTGGGGAGGACAGCAGAGCCTCGGGGACCCGCCACTTTGGGGGGGGGTTTGGGGCATATCCTCCCGGACGATGGGAGGTGCCGGGGCACTAAGACCATGCTAGCTCAGTGCCACCATCTGGGCTTGTCTGTCCACACCTGAGGCCAGCACAATGCAAGGGTCATCTGCTCAGGTACTCACTCTAGGCTTTCTCCTGAGGCTGCTAGAGCCATGACTCTTGGCGGGGGACCTGGAAATTAATGTGGGAAAGTTTGAGTCCCTTTGGGGTCCTCTAAATGCATGCCCAAGGTCCATCCTCAACTTTCTGAGGCTCACTGGGGCAGCGATACACAGTGACATGTAATATTAATACAACCCTGGGTCACCCCTGAGCCCCTCAGCCCCACGTCCTCCCCAGACCTTGGCTCCAGGGCACTCTCAGTCAGTCTTAGCCTCCCTTGATTTGCGGCTCTACCCAGTGCTTGGCCTGACACCCCTGTGTTCACCTCCGTCTCTGCCGTTTTCAAGGAGTTACCAGATTCCCTCTGTCAACCACCCACTGGGGCAATGACACTTCCCAGTCACGGTCCCAAAATTGTCTATTTTGAGCTCTAAAGTTGACTTCATAGTACCGCTCTAGGGAATTCCATGAATGAAACCCAGTTCCTTGCAGCTACATCCTTTGTAAAAGCTTCAATGCTATTTCCTTTTGGCCTCTGTGGTCTGAGACAGTCCTCCCTCTTTTTTTTGATCCAGCCCAGTTTGTGCATTGTCTATGTTTTCTTCTTTCTCTCGCCAACAAAGTAGAATAGAAAGGAAATCAAATGAAATAAAATAGCCACTGCCCAGTGTATCTTAATTTTATAGGGCAAAGACTGGAATAACAGGACTTAATTCATTCATCCATCTATTTAAGTGACATTTTTTAGCACTTTTTATGTGCCAGGCACAATTCCAGGTGCTAAGGATGTAGTAATGGAAAAACAGACAACAACCCTGCCTCAAGGAGCTCACATTCCTGTGGGAGAGTCAGAATCATTTGTGCATTTCAACTATGACAAATAATTAACAAGAGTAAATGAATATTGAATCAGGAGTTATAATATGCTTTATTGTATTAAGAAACCAATTTCCTTTAGTGCAGCGGTCCTCAAACTTTTTAAACAGGGGTTCAGTTCACTGTCCCTCAGACCATTGGAGGGCCGTTGGAGAGTGCGGCACATTCCACACATGCGCACTGCGGGCCCGGGACGAGTCGGCTGCTAAGCAGGACAGGCAGCGGCGGCAAAAACACCAGGCAGGCCGGATAAATGTCCTCCGTTGGCCCTAAGTGGCCATAGTTTGAGGACCCATGCTTGCTTTAGTGTTCAGGCAACTTGGTATTGTGTTATAAAATTAGTTTGGTGAAAATGACAAATCAATGTTAGAAACCTAAAAGGTCAGAATTAGGAAGCCACCTAGTACTTTGCCACTCTAGAAAATATTTCCTTTTCATTGCACCAGTGAAAGAGCCTGGATGGTCCATCCAGGGGGATGTATTCTCCCAGCCAACGAACGTTTCTCACTTCCTGCCTTCATGGGCCCCATCTCTGTTTCAGTCCCAACTAAGAAAACTTTCTTATTCTAAATTTCACATTTCAGAAGTTGCTTTGTAACTAATTTTAATGTATCTGAGGTATTAATTTTTAAAATAAAAAACTATCTTCTAAATTCCTGTTTGTTTTACAGTTTCAGCATCAGCCACAGAACTGACCACTTCTCCTGGTAATTTTATTTTCCTTCTTGCTTTCTATAAATCAGATATGTGTAGATGGCCATGCATATGGTTAGGGTTGGAGTTTATATCTCCTATGGAACTAAACAGCGAGCTTTTTATCAAACTAATATAAGGTGCTTATACATCCATCGAATGAAATAGTAAGTTGAACATATTGATTGCATGTCATCCATACGTAGGACACAATATGTCCAGTTTGTTCCCTCCCTCTCTGGTGCAACGGAAACCAAATTCTAGTCACATGGCTTCACTTAAAATTCTCATCATTGTCCACGCATTTGGGTTTTCAGTGAGTTTTGGGTTTTGTTTGTTTGTTTGTCTTAGATACAGGCCAGGCCAGAGTGCAGTGGCTCATCGTAGCTCACTGCAGCCTCGAACTCCTGGGCTCAAGCAATCCTTCCACCTCAGCCTCTCAAGTAGCTGGGACTGCAGGCATGTGCCACCACCAGCAGCTAATGTTTTGCTTTATTATTTTTCATAGAGATGAGGTCTTGCTATGTTGCCCAGGCCAGTCTCGAATTCTTGGCCTCAAGCAATCCTCCCGTCTCGCCTCCCAAAGTGCTGGGATTACAGGTGTGAGCCACTGTACCCAGCCATTTTGAGCCAATTTCAGCAGGGCACAAGTCAGCTGGGGCTGAGCAGGGAAGGGCTGCCCCTCTCTAAGGGCACATGCTCTCCATTTCCTCCTGGCCCCTGGCATGCTTGTCTAGGCTGTAGACATCTCCATTTGCATGCTTGGTGCTTCTTAGTGTTTAATGTACACATGGCTCACCAGGAGATGCTGTTAAAATGCAGGTTCTGGTTCAGTGGATCCCGAGAGTCTGCATTTCTAACAAGGTAATGCAAATGCTGGTGGTCCATGGACTGACCCTTCAGGTGCAGCACCTAGAGCCCAGAGATGCAAAGGGACTTGTCCAAGGTCACATGCTCCCTTCCACAAAGATGAGTGGGGAACCTGTGGCCTTCTGATTTCAAGATTGTTCTTTTTTAAGCACCAAAGGAGGCAAGAAAAGCTTCATCTTTCTCTGTTGCACCCCTTTTAATAAAAGGATTTGTTCTGCAAAATTTGGATTCAGTCAAAAGGCCGCACTTAAGGACCTAGAAGGCCACATGTGACCCAAAGACCACAGGTTCCCCACCCCTGCCAGGTCTCAGGTCCCAGCCCCATGTACCACCTGTCTCATTATTAATTTCCTTAGCTTAATGTGACAGAGAACAGGAGAACCAAATAGGGATAGAGCATAATCGAATATGACATGCCTGGGACATGATTTGTAAATAGGATAACTTTTTGGAAAATTTGTTACCAATCAACTTGATAGACAAGGATGGCATTTAATTATAATTTTCTCTTAACTTTTGCTTGTCTTGACAGTTTCTACCTCAATTTCAGCCACAGACTTGGTCTCTGCAACTGGTAACAAGTTTTCTGCTGACTTGTCCTTTTGCTACCTATATAAAGAATATTGCTGTGTTGGAAAGCTAGTTAGTACAGTTATACCCCTATTTGTCCAGGAGTCACTTGGCTAAATTAATCCCTTGGGAAACAGGCTAGAACCCAGAAATAGACAAAGAGGACCTCCATGCAGCCAAATTGAGATCCCAACGTACAAGGTGAAGAAAAGCACTTGAGTACACACTCAGGTACTTGCCAAGGGCTATTTCTGAGAGCCCATCACTCCTACTTTCTATAGTCACATGACAGCTGGATATCTGGTCTCCCTGCTGACTACGCATCAGGAGAGACAAGAGATTGGGGAGGTGGTGTAGGGGCTGGGAGGGGTAGACCTGATAGAGTAGCCATGCTGGTGATGTCAGGAAATGCTAGCAGATGCTCTGATAACTACAGAAGGGTCCAGAGAAATCATTCAGTATTACCAGACTTTCTAAATGTCACTCTATGGGACAAGATGCCCATTTACCTCAATGTCCTTTGAGATGCCTCTGTGTCATATCCCTGCACAACAATGATATTCTTCCTAGTAAGTCTGAATCATGCAGGTTGCGGTATGATCAATATCTTTTGTTCAAAAGGACAGGGAAGTGTGTTTCATTTCAGGAAGGATTTAATTTGTACCAGTGCATGTGTTTTTAATTTGGGAGGATGAGAAATAGTTCTCATAGTTGAATTTTTCCAACAATAAAGCCTGGTAAATGAGACCATAGTAAAGGCAGAATTATATATAACCAGAAAATGAATTTAAAAAACTTGCTGATCAATGGACTAACATTCCTGTTTATGTTTCATATTCAGGCATAACTTCCACTTGGGAGGCAATAACTCCTGAACCTGGTAATGCCCTCTGCGCCCCGTACTGCAGGCTGGCAGGACAGGCACGGGGTGGGGTGGTGTCAGATTGTCACTGTCTTGGAGCAGAGTGTCTCACCCAGGCCAGACCTTGTGCCTGGCACGAGGCAGGGCAGAGGATGGTAAGATAGAGAGAGGAACTCCAGGCCAGGTGTATCGCCTGCCATGGGTTCTCACACCATCACACATCTCTCCTTTGTTCCTTCATAGCACTTGCCACTCGTCGCCTTGCAATCTTACATTTATTTGACCTTACCTGTCTTTCCCATGCCACAGCCCTCTCTTTGAGGACAGGAACCGCATGCGGTTTTGTTGACTGTTTTCCCCCCAGCCCTGGCACAGCGCCCAGCACAGAGGAATGGGCAGTGAAGATTTGTTAGTTAAATAAATGCAGAGACAGAGAGAAGAAAACAAGTAAACTATAAAATAATGTTTGTTTCCCAGCATTAGGTAGGTTTTGACCAATTATCTTTTCTTATTTATAGGATCTTTGAATACTGCTATAACTACTTCAACAGGTAATTTAAATATTTTTTTTGGATTCCATCTTGCTTGCTATAAATTATTTTATTTGGCTTTCCAGTGAATTCATTAAACAATTGTTTATGTGCTGGTCAAATTCTTTAATTCTTTAGTAATCTTTTTTTTTCTTTTTTTTTTTTTAGTTTTTTAATATGTTCATTTTGACCTGACCCATAAAAGCCATTCCCCTGATGGTGGGTGCATTCTGGGTAAAAGCATGAGCCAAGGGAGAAAGTCATGCAGCCAGTTAGGCCAAGTCAAGTCCATGACAACACTCCCTGGACTAACTGGTGGCCTAATGTACTCACCTACTTGAGTCTGCGGAGGGAGTTTCTCCTGGACACCAGCCACCAAGTGGTGTCGCTGGAATGGGGAGGAGTCAGGCCATGGCTGTCCCTGATCCTCCATGACGCTCAACAGCATTCAATGAGAATGGCCACCAGCCATCTCGGTGCCAAGACAGTGAGGGCTGCAGAGCTGCCCACACTGACAAGTAACTCGCCTCTTGTACAACAGACTCTGAGTCATGCTGGCTGGAATTATCCAAGAAGTTCCTGTGTGACTCCAGGTTCAAGCATTTCACAAAAGGAGGGTTTTTTAGGGAAAAGGGGGACAATAAAGAGGTACTTTTCCTACTCAGGTGCCAAAGCTATTGAGACATAAACATCAGAGTCAGCACCAAATACGGCCTTTATTACTGACCAAGCTGAGCTGGAGGGCAACACTTAGTACAAAACACCTGCCACCCCTCCCTAGATCTTGGGACAGCCCAGCTAGGGAAAGTTCCAGACTGCAGAGCTGATGCCTTCCCTGGGGCACTGCCTCCGCCCATTTGGAAGGAGGAGGAAGGCCAGGAAAGCAAGTCCCATTCACAGAATCTCTGTTAGATTAGCCCCATGCAGATGAGAAGCCAACCTGGCCAGTGGCTGTGGTCCTCCGAACAGGTCACGGCCACCTCCATGGGAAGAAGTTAAAGGGTGGGCAAGAGAAATGTAGACCCAAGGAGTGGAGGGGTGGCAGGGAGGCGTGGAGCCTCTGGAGAGGCCCTGCCCCCACTACTAACTAGAGAGTAGGAAGACAAGGCTTCCTGAAGTCACCTTGACCCAGGATGCCACCTTACCGTCCCCTGCATCTCATAGAGGCATGTGTGCCTGATGACACTGTCTCATTGCTGCTTCTCACTTTTGCTCACCTGCAGCTTCCATCTCAACGGCTGTGACCTCCATACCAGGTAGAACATTTTCTCTGCTGTCCCACCAAGTACCTCTTCTTGGAGTTCCATTTTGGAACTCAAAAATTTTGTGTCCGATGTAGCCTTGGTAAAAACAGAAACCCGGGAGTCCCCTCCACTGGCATCTAAGTCTCTTCTTCCCTTTTTCCATAGATACCTCTTCAGTGTCAGCAGAAGTGACCTCTCCATCTGGTAAAGTCTCTCGTGGTGCTGTTGAAATGAATGAGACCAGCTTATTTGTCATATGCTATGAGAATATGAAAATGAGCCTACTTCATGACCATTTTAGCCACAAAGTAAACCTCAGCGTCTTCCTTCTTTCCACTCAATTATGTGTCCTGTTTTCTCTGTTTATACACAGATGCATTTTCAGCCTCAGCAGAAGTGGACACTCCTCCTGGTAATGTTTTCTGCCTGTCACATTTCTTAGTTACATATACTCAAATTTTTCTCTTTCTAGTTGGCAAATGAACGTGTGCACTAAACATTTTGTCTATGATATAAACCCCGATAGAAACAGAAACCCCAGCACCGTATTCAAAGAAATTGAGCTTCACATTTTCCTTGTTCATCCTTAGACACAGAAGTGTCCCTTCCACTAGGAAATACCTTCCATTTGTTGCACTGGCCTTGATCAGATGTGCCCAAGGTGGCCTGGGGCTGGGAGGCCACTCCTCCCCTGCTTGGCGGTGTGTGTCATGTTTCAGGTGACGCTTCAACCCAGCCGGCACACCCGAACGTGCACATGGGACAGCCAGGATGTGACAGTGTTAGTCCTATCCATTCACTGTTCTGTTTTCCACCATTCTTCTTCATTTGCAGATACAACTCCTACTTCAGCTGAAGCACCTTCTTCTCCAGGTACACTCTCTGCTCCTGGCAGCAGCCACGGTGAGAGAATCTCTGAAAACCCCCAGCCCAGTAAGGGTTTACGCACCCAGATGAAGTTAGGAGAGAAGAGAGGACAGGGGAGGGGAGGCCGGTCAACTCCCAGAGAATTCCAGGCCACTCCCCCATCACTCATTATGAAACTGAACACCGTGAAGGTGGATGCTGGGGATGAGATGAATAGGATAAAATAGCCTCAAATTTCAAGACCTTAGAGATGATCTAGACCAGTGATTCTCGAATGTTCATATGCATGTGAACCTCATGCATGCAGACCTTGTTAAAATGCAGACTCAGTGGCTCCAAGTGGAGCCTGAACCCTGCATTTCTCACAGATTCCCCGGTGATGCCACCGGTGCTGGTCATGGGCCTCCCACCACCCTCATGCTGAAGGAAAATGGGGCCCAGAGAAGGAAGAGACTTGCCTAAAGTCACAGAGCTGGGGCAGAGCAAAGCCAGGTCTCCCCACTCCCATCTTGCTTTGCTGATGAATCCGTCTGTGTGATTCCCCCAAATCCCTGGCATCGATGTCTTCAGTAACAAGGCTCCTCTGCTTTCTTCTATTTTATTTATTTTTTTTCCAAGTCCTGGTCACTTTGAAGAGATATGGGGGTAAAACAATGAAACCAAAGTTTAATACTTTCTTTTCACTTCTATTTAAGTATGGGTTTCCTTCCTTCTTTCCTGCCTCCCTCCCTCCATCCATCCATCCATCATTTACTCACTTCCTTCCTTCCCACCCCCACCATGACTCCACTTTAGTCAGAAGATTCCTTCACTTCTATTTCCCACTGCCTCTTGACATTACAGGAGGTGAGCTTTTCTTTGCAGACCTGGTTGGTGTAACTGGGTTGCTTTGCACACAGTGTAGGTGGCACCCACACATTTTACTTCCTTTACAAAAGCATGGCAGCCATACCACTTCCTGTTTCTGCAGGAAGTGCCCCTTGGAGTGTGAGGAAAGAGCAGAGGCCATTAAACCCTTATTTCCCTTGCCTCTCATCCCTGATTCACCACACTGAGCCCAGGGTGACTGTGACTCCCACGCCTGATGCTCCCAAAGGCACAGTGCTGAGAAAGAGTATGTGCTTTGGGGACTCACGGTCGTGACTTGCGGATGACCTGGGCTCGCTATGCAGCTCCTCTGAGTCTCCATTTCATCTCTAAAATAGTGACAGTACTTACCTGGCACAGTCATTATAAAGATTAGGGATGTACATGATCTGACACATTGTAGATGCTCAAAATGAGTGTTAATCTGCTGTGCAAAATGCCAACTTCTCATCCACCCTTTCATGCCTATGTGTGAAGCTACAAGATAAAGGTGCAGCGTGGATTTCTAATGCATAGCATTTATGAAACTGGCCTGTTTTCATAAACATGTAGTCTGCAGTGTAAAATTTCAATGAAGCCAAATTCTAATGCTTTCTTTACACTAGAATTTTTTTGTTGGCAGCCACAGATCCAATTTCAACAAAACTGACACCATCACCAGGTAACGATCATATGCCTATTGCTAGATTAACACTTAGTTTTATAATTTACAGTGCCATATTCTTTCATAAATTTCATTGTTAATTTTCCTACCTGGCTTCCTTCTGTATATGTTAATATGGAAGTACATCTCTCAGATGTATTGTTTCTCTTATCTAAAAATATTTCTGAAAAATATAAGTTGATTTTCTTGGCTTCATTTTCAGCCCCCGTAAAATTATTTTCTACAAAATATAATGGTTTTTTATTCTTCCTCTCAAAAATTCAGTATGCTTATAAAGCTTTTTTTCTGACCATTTAATATAAATTATTTTACTTCTGGAGAATAAACAAGATAAAATACCACTTGTTATATTTTGATGCCAAGAAAATTAAACATAGTAGACAATATTTCTGCACTCAAATCAAAGTAGAAACTCACAGTATTGGTGTCTGGCTGGGCATGGTGGCTCACAACTGTAATCTCAGAACTTTGAAGGCTGAGGCAGGAGGATTGCTTGAGCTCAGGAGTTAAAGGTTACAGTGAGTGATGATCAGGCCACTGCACTCCAGCCTGGGTGACAAAAGTACTGTCTCAAAAAAAAAAAAAAAGTATTGCTGTCTGAAATTAGAGAAGATGTTTGGTTCTTTTTCAGTGTTGAATATAAATATGTGACTTGGAGGGTACACATTTTTAAAGTTTATTTTTTCTTATTTACAGATACGATTTCTGTTAATGAAGAAACAGCCCCTTTACCTGGTAATTTTTGTTTGTTTCTAAGCACTAAAATGATCATATCTCCATTTTTTTCTGTTAGGATTGTATTTCTTTTTCATTTAAATTTCCTGTTCTTTACAGGGAAGTTTTATGAACTTGTAGATGTGTATGTGCAGATACACGTGTGTGTGAATACACACAGACTTTGTGGGTGGGAAGCCCCAAACTCACCTCAAAAAACCTCACTTAGAAGATATTTACCTTTACTCATAGTTTAAACAAGCATGATTATCTTGCTTCCACTATTACAGCAACAAATTAGACAAGGAGAGGGCCACCATCCTAGACCAGCATGGTGTTTACCGACACTCACTCGGCATCTTCTATGTGCCACACAGAGCAGGGACCAGCTTATATGAAGACAAATCATTTACACATGTCTGTGGGTGTGGCATCACCAACGTAATAGATTTTTTTGTTTAATCTTTTTAAATCAGCTTTTTTGAAGTATAAATTTATGTGCAATAAATTGCACACATCTGTGAGTTCTGTCTAATGTATGCACCTGTGTAACCAACCCCATCGTCCAGATACAGATTCATTTCCATCACCCAGGGAAGCTCCCTCCGAGGCACATCTCTCCTGCCTCCCTCAGGCAAGCGCTGGTCTGTCAGTCACTATAGATTAGATTTTTTCCCCCTAGAATTTCATTTAAATGGAATCAAATAATATGTGCTCTTTGTGTCTGACTCCTTTTCGAAAATTTATTTTATTTTAGTTTTTTAGAGACAGAGTCTCGCTCTGTTGCCCAGGCTGGGGTGCTGTGGCCTGATCATAGCTCACTGTAACCTCAAACTCCTGGGCTCAAGCAATCCTCCTGCCTCAGCCTCCCAAGTAGCTGGAACTGCAGGCATGCACCACCATGCCCGGCTAATTTTCTTTATTTTTGTAGATATGGGGCCTCACTATGTTGCCCAGGCTAGTCTTGAACTCCTGGCCTCAAGCGATCCTCCCACCTTGGCCTCTAAAAGTGCTGGAATTACAGGCATGAGCCACTGTGCCCGGCCTCTGACTTCTTTTACTCAACATATTGTTTTTTAGATTTATCCATGTGTTGGTAATTTGTTTTTTTTATTTGTTTAGTAAGATCCCATTGTGTGCATATACCACAAGTGATCCATTCTCCTATGGGTGGGCACGTGGGTGGTTTCCGGGTTTGGGCTGTTGTGGAGAATGCTGCTAAGTACAAATCTTTCTCTGGACATGTATTTTCATTTGCCTTGTGTAAATGCCTAGGAGTGGAAAAGCGAGGTTATAAAATAATAGTTTTTATAGCTAAAATACTGTCTTTTACTCATCACGAGTGAAAGTAATTTCATTGGATATATGTTTGGTGAGTCAAGGAAGTGCCTCAGTTTAGAACAACTGTCTTCTAAAGACTTAGGGGTGTTGTTTGTTTTATATATACATATTTTTGCTTAAAGATTTAAGTTCTTAGGGAACTTAGATTTAAGTCCTGGGGAACCAGGCTTGCCCATAATGGCCATTCCTTGATGGCTTCAGGTAATTAAGGCTTTGCCTTATGCGAGAGAGTGTGTGACCGAGAACAACAGAACCGAACTGGAACTCGTTCTGGTGCTGTTTGCAAACAGCAGGTGCCGCCCGCGATGCCCGCCTGACTGCCTCTCTCCCCGCAGAGCCGGCCCTGCGCCTGGCGGGCGGGCGCAGCCGCTGCGAGGGCCGGGTGGAGGTGTGGCACGGCGGCGAGTGGGGCACCGTGTGCGACGACCGCTGGAACATCAAGAACGCGCGCGTCGTGTGTCGCCTCCTGGGCTGCGGCCACGCGCTGGGCGCCCCGGGCCACGGCCGCTTCGGCCCGGGCGCGGGCCCCATCCTGCTGGACGACGTGCGCTGCGCGGGCTCCGAGGACGCGCTGGGCCGCTGCGCCCACTCGGGCTGGGGCCGCCACAACTGCCGGCACCGCGAGGACGCGGGCGTGGTCTGCGCAGGTGCGTCCTGACGCCGCGTCGCTGCGCGCTGCCCCGGGTCCACACTCGCCACCTTGACAGACGCTGGGTGCGGCCAGGGCCCCTCCTGGCACCCTGCGCATGTCTGTTACATACACGTGGTGGCACGTGTTTTCATCAGCCAGGCTTGGGAGTTTACTCACCGGTTGTGTCTGATCCCGAATCAGCGCAGTGTTTGTCCTGGCATAGAGCTAAGAGATTTCGAGGTCGGTGTGACGCAATGACTAAGGTCATAGAGCTCCCTGCTGGCAGTCACACTGCAACTCGTCCAGTCCCCTTTCAACCTCCGAGGAGGGATGCGAGGGCACAGTCCTGGGTGGACACTCTTCTTCACCTGGACCTAAGGCACCCTGCAATGTCAGAAAGTCAGAAAGACACCCCACAATGTCCCAGGTTCCCCCTTGTGTCCCCTTTCTCAGAGATTTGGCCTCCCCTGTACCTTTCCCGGAATGCATTTGATTATCACACGACATCTGTCTCAGCATTCTGACTTCCACGGGTTGACTGCCTTTGGTATGGAGTCGTACTTCCTTATAGGTGCCCTAAATTTACCCTGAATCTCAAGGAGTTATGGGATTCTAAGATTTAGTGAACAGTCTGAGTTCACCTTGTCTGTGCCATTCTTAGTTTTTTATAGGAAAGGAATTGTCACCACTGCTTTTACCCTTACATAGGTGTTGCCTTGTTTTGCACAGACGTGGGGTCCACATGGAAAAGCTGTCAGAGTCCCCTGAAGACAGGCGTTAATCGAGCAGAGAGCCAAGTAGTGTGGGTCGAGCTGGGGTCATGACCCTGGGGTACTGTCCTGCCTCACTTCTGAGGTGGAAAAAACCTTTGGCAGCCACTAAATGCATCTTTCCCAGCTTAAGGTTCCCAGTGTGCCATGTGCCTAGGAAGGAACGCCAGGCAGAGTTCGTACAATGTGACAGCATTTATAACCTTCAAAGCCCTGTGTTCACTATTCTCTTGCTCCAGCATATCTTGGTGTTGATAGCACCTGTATTCTGAACACTGCTGCACACATGCCAGACTCCAGCTGCATCAGGAGGCCCTGGGCCTCCTTCCCTTTGCACCCACTGGAGTGTTCTCATGCCGTTGTGCTCCAACGTTAATAGTGAAATCAAATGAGCCCACCCTTTCACCTACACTTCACGGCTACTCCTACCGGTAGCTACATCATCCTCTTCCAGTGTTTCAGCACAGTTGACCTTCGTTTTTCATCCTTCTCTCCTCACCAGATCCGGCTGACTCTCTTGTACCCAAGGACAATGGTAAACTCTTCCCCCCTCTGCAGTCTGAGGCTTAGGCTGCTGAAAGTTGGGAGTGGGTAGGGGGGTTAGAGAGCAGCCGAGTGGGGAAGAAAGGACTGGCAGTGGGAGAGGACCAGCTTCTGCGTTTCCACTGAGACCCCTTGCTTTGCATCCATTTGCTGGGCTTTGGGGGGTGGGGGGAGAAGCCCCTATGCACCCAGGCTCCCTCCCCCTTTGCTTCCTGTCTCTCTCTCCAATTTCCCTCCATATAAAGGCCCAGATAGACAGTGCTGAGGTGCATGGGTTCTCAACATGGGAAATGAGCTGTCCATGGGACATGGCTGTTCCCTGTGGATGTAGTGTGACTTCAAAGCCTTTTTAGAAAAGGGTGGATATAAATAAAGTCAATGAAAGTCAAGTCAAGGGTGAGGGCTGAGAGTTGAGCCAGCCTCAATGCAGGACGATATGCATGGTACTTTCTATAAAGTAAACGGATACCCCGCAAACCTGCTGTACACGTCCAGGGCACCGGGTCCTCTTTGTGAGGCCCTCTCATCTTCTCCCTCCTGCAGCCCAGCTCTCCTGCTTGCCTCACCTCTTCCAAGCCGTTATTGACCGAGGCTACCTCCGGAGGCTGGGCTACTCCTCCTGGGACATCCACTTAAATGATGAGCTGTGTCGCCCCCAGGTCACGGGGCGCTACCTGATCTTCAACATTCCCTATGGTCGCTGTGGCACCGTCCAGCAGGTAAGAAACTGCCAAGGTGGTGGTAGCCTTCTGTGGGTGGAGGCCAAGGAAAGAAGTTTAGGAAATTCAACCACCTATGAGAAGCCTGCGTAGGAACAGAGGAAAGACACAAGTCACACACATCACAACTTCCTTTCTGAGTTTGGTGAGATCTAGAGAAGCTGACTAATTTTTCTGAAACTTTCCTTCCTTTTGGGAATTTGGGATACACAATAGCAAGTGTTGAGTGCTGATGAGCTGATAGATGTGTGAATGGATGGATGGATGGATGGATGGATGGATGGATGGATGGATGGGTGGGTAATATTCTCTTAGCTCCAAAAGCAAAGCATTTTTCACAACATGCTTCTTGATTGAGCACTAGTGTACACCTACCATGTGCAAGGTATGGTGCTTGGCATGGGGGAGGACAGACTGTCTGTCTGTCCATCTGACTATGTTTCTAACCAGGTAGGTACATTCCACAGTCTAGAAAGCAAACCTCTAGGACATTCATGAAAACTGAAATATATATGTTCATTTAATTTTCTTTATCCATCTGTTTATTTCACAAAACAGCGGCATCGAAGTCAAGGAAACAAGCATACCAGTGATATAGTGAATGTATAACCACAGAATCTTTTTTCTGAGTATATTTGACAATGCAACTTGTTCCAAAGCAAGAGCCCCATACCACTCCTCTATTCTTTCACGTCCCTGTTTAGACACACACCTGAAGCTCAGGGAACCCTTGACATTGTTGGAGGTTGAATTCATTCACTTTTGTCCATTTGGTTGAGCAAACCATAGTCATTCCTATCCTTTTTGCTCTGAAAACTCTACTTTTTACCTCAGAGATTTCTTCCCCAGGAGCCATGCTGAGGCCCCCCGGGTCTGGGAGGTGGGCACCCCTCGGAAGCTTCTGAGCCGTCAGGGAAGATGCTGCAAATGTCTTCTCTGGCCCCGGCTGGCCCAGCTCCCCCCAAAGCAGCCCCACGCACTAACCACGGTGCTGGGGACACCGCAGGGTCAGAAAGCACTTGGGGTGACAGCCAGCCGCAGGCCACAGATGAGGAAAACACTGCCACCAAAGGTCCCACCCTGTCTGATGTCAGGGTCAGCGAATGAGCAATCATCCAGGTGCAGGAGGTGGCAGGGTCCCTGCGCCATGGCTCTTACATCCAAGAAAAGAGAGACAGGCACCCAGGCTCGGCACACACACAATAACAGTCCTTCTTGTAGCAAAAAGGGTTAGGAAAACAATAAAACCAGAAAGGAGGTAGGAGAGTGATTCGGGTGGAGGGGAAGCCACGTTGAAGAGGGCGGTGGCTAAGAGCAGCCTGCCTGGCGGGTGGAGCAGAGGGTAAAGGGGCCTCGGGGGACCAGCTAGCGTGTGGGGTGCGGAGGACACACTGGAGGTGGGAAGCCTAAGGCAGATTGGAAGAGGGTGGGACCGTGTGGCCAAAAAGCGTGGCTTTTATTCTAAGCTGTACATTCCCCTGAAGGGGAAGGGGAGACAGAGATTGGCTCTTAGGGGCAACAAAATAAGATCTTTCTTTATGGATCAAGCACAGATATACATACAGTGCATGAACAGTGTATTTGTTGTACTAAAATTCCATAGTGGGAGCTGGAGAGAGGGCAGGATGAATAGGAAAGATGTTTACAAAGGCCCTTTAGGAGGACCATAGTGAACAAAAACTTGAGAAACGCTGGTCTAAGTTGACAGATGTCTTTGGAGAAGACAGAATGTCTTCTGCCTGGGACATTCAAGGCAGAATGTCCCAGGATTGGAGCCCCACAAGCCGAGGCTTCCTTGAGCAAATGGGGGCAGTCTGAGCCTCTGGTCGTCTACACAGCATATGCCATCTCCAGGGAAGGAGATGGCAAGAAGCTGTGGCCCCTGCGGTGGGCCCTGGTGTCCCCTTAACCCCTGCAGGTCTCGTAGGATCTGAAGGCTGGGGTCCACAGGGCCAGCCCACAGCTCACGTGGAGCCACAACTGGTTTGGAGTCGAGGGCAGGGAAGAGACCAAAGAGCAGACAAGAGCCTTGGTGGGGGTGGCCTGCAGGAGCCTGAGGGGTTGGTACACCTGGAGGAATTCGTCCAAAAGGGAGCTCCAAGGAGGGAAGAGGGCGTCCAGGCTCACCCGCTGGGGGCCACCTGTGCACCCCACACGTCAGGTCACCCATGGCATTAAGTACCAAGGGGCCAGGGACTCATATCCTCCAGCAAAGCAGGTGACAGGCAGGTGTGGGAGGGAGAGGTCTCTGCTCCTGAAGGCAGGTGCTTGCCCGGGAGCTGGGAGCGCTGCCCACCCGCTCTCTTGTTGTCCTCACAGGAGCACTTGGGCTCCCTCAGCTACACCAACTCCATCAGAGGCCGAATTCGGGGCCACCCTGGCCGAGTCATCGTGCGGCACAAGGTGCCTGAGCTGAAGTTCACCTGTAGGGTGGGTGGCCCAGCTGCGGTTGAAATCGTTCATGGAGCTAACGTCCCGATGGAGAATGCCAGCTACGAAGTGTCCATATCGTTCCTCCAGTCGCCGGGGCTCCAAGACATGGAGCCATATTATGCCAGCCAGGAGAAAGAAGTCTTCCTCCAAGCCACCCTCCGTAGCCTCAACCCCAACCTGGAACTGTTTGTGGATACCTGTGTGGCTTCTCCTGATCCCAGTGATTTCACAACCATTAAGCATGATTTGATCCAGCAGGGGTAAGGAAAATGGAAGCCCTCTCATGTTGACTGCTATATTCACATGGCATTCCTTCAGGTAGCTTGTGGCTTCTCAACCGGTATTCCTAAATCAGAACTTTATGCAAGAGTCCTCACCATGCCCTAGAGGCAGAATGGGTGCTCCTACCAACCCTCTGATCACAGCTGGGGACAAATAGTTGTAGGTGGCCTGCACAACCTCCCTTGAATCCCCAGAGTCCTGGGCAGGACCCTTGCTGCCCTGGGTTCTGCTGCCTCACTCTCTCCTTTCATGCCCATCCCTCCCTCCCTTCTAGTTTTATAACTTTATTAGATTCCCCATTCATGGTGCAGGCCCTTGGGGCATTTGGCCTATACTGATGGACTGGTGGGTTATCCCAAGCTAAGCTCTTAGTTATACTTGTGAGATTTATTCTGGCACCTTTGGCTAACCAACCCATTTGCCAAGTTAGAACTTTGACATATTGTTTGCCTTTATAGCTCCCTTGTCCCCTAATGGGAAAAATACTTATGGATGGGCAATTGGCAAGCAGTTCAGAAACAACAAAAAGCCATCATTTAGTGGCAGCTTTAGGATGGTGAGAGCCACAACAGCCTAAGCCCGTAAGTGGCCCCGTGGAAGGAGCAGAACACAGCATCTCTCATAGGTGGCGTAAGCCATGGCATGAGTCATGGAGTGAGAAAGCGCCTCCCTTACAATCATCCTTGCAAATATATCAAGGCAAGAGGCTCAGTTTGGTGCCAGAATTTAACAACTGACATTTTTTTTCTTCTGCTCGCTTTAGGTTTAATTTTCTCTTCTTTGTCTAGTTTTCAAAGCTAAGATTATTGATTTTAGATCTTTCTTCTTTTCTAATATATGCATTTTAATGCTATAAATCTCCCTCTAAGCAGTGCTATAGCTGCATCCCACAAATGTGATAATTCATTTCAAATGTGATATTCATTTTCACTTAGTTTAAAATATTTTTAAATTTTTCTTGACACTTTTTTGATCCACAAGTTACTCAAAAGTGTTTTTTAATTTCCAAACATTTGGAAATTTTCCAGCAATCATTGTCATTGATTTCTAGTTTAATTCCATTGCTACCTCAGGTTGTATTTTGTGTGATTTCTGTTCTTTTAAATTTGTTAAAGTGTCTTTTATGGCTCAGAATGTATATTTAAAGTGGGTTTCTTGTAGGCAACATGTAATGTAGTTGGGACTTGTTTTTTTAATTGATAATCACTTTAAATACAAATGGTCTAAATATACCAATTTAGAGATAGAATAGATAAAAAAAACAAAAGTAGATAAATAAAAAACAGGACCCAGTTATATCTGTCTACAAGAAACCTTTAAATATAAAGACAAAGATAGGCCAGGCACAGTGGCTCATGCCTGTAATCCTAGCACTCTGGGAGGCCGAGGCAGGAGGATCACTCAAGGTCAGGAGTTCGAAACCAACCTGAGCAAGAGCAAGTTACTATTGGTTTCGTGTTCACTTTGTAATCCTGAGTTTCAAGTACAAACATCCAATGTGGACCAATCACTACTGTGCACTAACGTGCCATTTTAACTCTGTAGTTGACGCCTTGAGCAAACATTGTGCAAGTCCATGGATTTTTTCCACCTTGCAGTCCCTGAGGCACAGCCAAGACCAAACCTCATCTTCCTCTTCCTTCTCAGTCTATCCATAAGAAGATGATGCACGATGAAGATTTTTGAAGATGCAGATGAAGACTGTTTTATGATGATCCACTTCCACTTAATTATAGTAAAGTAAAATATTTTCTCTCCTTATGACTTTCATGAATAATAAATATTTTCTTTTCTCCAGCTTACTTTATTATAATTACATGTGACTATACAACCTACAATATATGTGTTTTAATCTACTGTTATTGATAAGGCCTCTGGGCCGGCATGGTGCGCTCTCACCGTATCCTAGCATTCTGGAAGGCAAGGCAGGAGGATAACTTGAGCTTCAGGAAGTGTCGAGAACAGCCCAGCAAGAGCAAGACTCCCTCTCCTAATAATAATACGAAGAAAATTACCTGTGAATAAAAGAGAACAAAAAATCTACTAGCCAGGCATGGTGGTGAGTGCCTGTTTAGTCACACCTACTTGGGAGGCTGAGGCAGGTAGGATCCCTTTAAGCTCAGGAGTTTCAAGACCAGCCCAAGGAAAAGAAAATGTGAATCCTACTAAAATATAGAAAATGTAGCTATGGTGTCATTTGGGTGCATGCTGTAGTCCTAGCTACTCAGGAGGCTGAGGCAGAAGGATCGCTTGAGCCTAGGACTTTGAGGTTGCGTGAGCTGAGCTGACGCCCTTGGCATCTATGCAGGGCGACACAGAGTGAGATTCTGTTTCCCAAAAAAAGATAAAGGCTTCTGGGTTAAGTTTTAGAGTAAGCTACTAGTAGCTAAGTTCTGGATGTAGTCAAAAGGTATAGGTAATTTCACTGCACATAGGGCTTGGTGCCCCTAACCTTGTGTTGTTCAAGGGTCAATGTACTATACTGAATTTAACTAACAAACTTTAATTAGTGTCTCCAATAGAGATGCTATACATAAGTAGACTCTTTCTTCTAAGTTGTTTGCATTAAAAAATAACTTCTCACCTTCTAACTTATCCATGGAAAACACAATAACATTTTTTTAGGAAAAAAATCAGATTTATTAATCTAAAGTAAAAAATTGACATTAGAACAGTTGCCACATCCACACATTTCCACACCAGTGGCACCAATATCACATGAGCAAAGTTTCAATGTAAAGTGAACTCATAAATTTCATCCCTGAAAACGACTAAAGCGTTTTCTCTACCTTCTTCTACACTGCCAATAAAACTTTATTACAAATTATATTTGGTCTGGACTTATTCTGTTCCAAAAACTCTTAAAAATAATGGAGAGCTGCCTGGACACTTATTTTTGTTTATCTCAGTGCTATGAATATGTATATTTGTGTTCTGTGTTCCTAAGACATCCTGAATACAATCATTAAGATATTTCTACATTTTCATACTTTGTTGCACCACTCACAACTCATAAATCCTGACATGATTATGCCCAGTAATATCTTTGCTGATTCATAGTATTAATTTGCCTTTTCTACCAACAAACACTAAAGTTTAATCCTCAATTAATTCCAATTAATCTTTATTAAAAATGAATCACTGGTGAATAATCTTCCTACTTCCCACCATACTCAAAACTCTGCGGTTGTGGCAGCTTAATTGTGTGATGTATGGCCTGCGGCCAACAGGCCAGATGTTTCACAGTATAGACATGAGACTCCCTACACTTCATTCTTCCTTGCAGTTGCTTGTTTTCCAATGCCAAGATGAATACTTTATTCCCATTTTTCTTCTAAACATAATCTACATATAATAATAGCTTCTTCTGTTGTAAGACTTGACTGGCATATTGAACTTTGCGGATGATTAATTAGACAAATCTTTTGAGAGCTTTAAATTTAATATTCTTTGTCATTAATTGCACTAGTCTGATTCTATTAGATTTGTTTCGTATTTCCCCTTGGAAAATCTAGCCTAATTCTTGGCATATCATCCATTTCCAGAAACTACTCTCTCTATTCCTCAAGAGGCCTGGAAATCTCCCTACTGACCTTACATTCTTGAATAACATTTTGTTGTTTGCTCCCCACTTCACAAAAATGCATATTTTGTAATAATTCATTGCATTTATGTTGTGTTTTACTTCATTTTAATTGTATATTTACAATCGCATATTTAGTATCTTCTAGTTTGCTTTTATTTTGATAAATAAAACACAGGCATTGCATTATATTTAATGATTATTTTAGGATGTACCTGCCCTCTTCAAACTGTGAATGTATTTTATTTTAGTAAATATTTGGTTGATAAAAGCAAGAATTTATCCAAAATCATTTAGCAAAATAATGGTCTTACATTTTACTTTCAGATATGCTTCAATTATTTTTTTTAGTGTATTATGGGGGTACAAGTGTTAAGGTTACATATATTGCCCATGCCCCCTCCCCCTTGAGTAGAGCTTCAAGCGTGTCATCCCCAAATTGTTGCCACTCTTACTCATTGTGGTTGTATTACACATCCCCTCCCTCCCCCCTCCACCCTCCCGACACCGATAAATGTTACTCCTATATGTCCATTAGGTGTTGATCCATTATACCAATCTTGCTGGTGAGTACATGTGGTGCTTGTTTCCCATTCTTGAGATACTTCACTTAGTCGAATGGGTTCCAGCTGTATCCAGGAATGATAAAGTTTTGAGC